ACTTTACTAATGGTGGAACTGGGAAAATTTTTAAAAGTTCTGCGACACATTCGAGTGTCACGTGCACATGCTTATCGAGCCCCAGACGAGTTACAGACACTGCCCAGACGCTCGTGTGTCACTTATTGCGTACCAGTATACATATAGGTATATTCATTTTCATACGGGGTACAGACGGGTCGCGTACGCGACAATCTATACAATGGACAGCAACAGCTACGAGGATTTATCGAGCGCATGTTTACACGCAAGCTCATATCGGTATTGTTTTTTACATTATGTATACACTTGCACTGATTATTACTAGAATTTCCCTGCGAGTACAGAAATGTATTCATGACTACAAGAAAAATTGACACGAACGTCGTATCGAATATTTCCTCACTGCCCGATACCAACAAAATCTCGCGTCTCCGTACAATCGGGCAAATTTTAAGATTCAAAGGACGCCCCCGACACTCGTAACAATGAGGCGCCCCAATGTGTTGAAAATAAAAAAAAAAACCTTCACCACATTAACCAGGTCGAGGGCGGCCTGATCGACTTTGCCCATCACAGAGGCCACGCGGCCCAGGCACTTCTGGAGACGGTCCGACTGTCGGACGCGGTAAACGCCACTCTGCGGATGGTCGACCTCCAGGACACACTTGTCGTTGTGACTAGCGATCACACGCACTCCCTCGCCTTCAATGGCAACAGCCCGCGTGGCGCCAATATTCTAGGTAAGTTACGCCACTCGCGCGTGCGGGAGTGACGCAACGCGACACTTGTATATCTTATTGGACGGTCGTTTGGACATTTCTTCGAGATCGGGTGGCCCAATGACATACTTATAATTTTTGTTAAAAACCGTTTGAGTACGAATATTTGAATGATAAATTACCACAGGAGTGGCGGAGGTGTCAAAGTACGACAAAGTGCCATACACGACACTGACGTACGGAACGGGTGGGCCGAACAATTTGGCATACGAGGCGTACAACAATACTGCAGTGAGGCGTGATCCCACGAAGGAAAACACGACGGAGTTCACTTACAGCCAGCAGGCGACCGTCATCACTGACGAGGCTCACCACGGTGGCGGCGATGTGACCGTTTACGCAAGTGGTTAGTTAACCGATTTTTTTTTTTTCCATTCACACGTCCTTTTTTCACTGTTTTCGTTGGCTGAGTAGTGATTTGAATGATTACCGCTGGATTGCAAAAATGTTGTAATCTCTTGCAGGTCTTGAATGATTGCATTTTTTTTTGGTGATCCATATAGCATCAGTGTTGTTGACCATACAGGTCTGTATGACTGTTTTGGATTATTGGACAGGGGATAGCAAGAATACTAATTAAAGCATCACCTTATCATTGTTTTCGTTGATGTCTTAACACAAGCTTTTACCATTGATAAAATTAATGTTGCTTTTGAGATTTGAAATGGTACTTATGTCACAACACTTCATAATTATTTTTATGAAATCAAAATTATACTAGTGGTAGAAAATTGATAACCCCAGTGACAAAGCAAAAGTTACAACTGTGATTGCAAAATGTGTGCTTCGTGTTGAGCTTATCAAAAGTTATGAAATTTTTTTTCCGAGCCTTTTCATAGTATGCGTTTTTTATATGTTCAACTTATGTTGTTTAATCGGCACTTATGCTTCGTACACGTCAATCTACAAGTTGCAGCAAATGACACGTTAATTCTAACTTATAGAAGCGTCTTACATGAATTGAGATACTTTACATCTTTTTGTTACTTTGTTTATAAAAAAGACTATGAAGATTTTTTGGGAATTTCTCTATAATTTTTATTATTATTATTTTTTTATCACAGTGTATGATTTTAAAGAGGTGTATAAGTGACGAGTAAAATTTACCATGATTAGCTCGATGCACCCAGTAATAGCAAAAATCAACACCGATCGCCGTCACGTACCACGTCCAGGGTGAGTCCCAGGGTAAATTCCAGAGGCGGAATCTCTCGTATATGTAAATGTATGCGTAGTACTCGGCTCCTCGAAATAAAATTCTAAGAGAAGCATCAATTAAGATTTATTACTATCGTTTTGTTTGTTCCCTATTATTTTTCTTTTTGGGCACAACTGATTTACCAGAGCGATAAGTATAACCACCACTTATGATGACATGTGAATCGACTATCTTACAAATTTACATCCGATTGGGCTTATTATTAAGAATTAAAAAAAAAAAAAAAAAAAAAATTGTTGACATCGTCTGTTTCTAGAACCAGAATAACCGGACCAAGTAAAAACATATTTCTACCAAAATAGTGACTCGTTCGTGAATCGACTATCTTACAAATTTACATCCGATTGGGCTTATTATTAAGAATTAAAAAAAAAAAAAAAAAAAACAATACTTTTGACCACTTCATTATATGTAGACCTAAACAAAGGTATTCCCGGTTCTTTGTGTTCAAAAAAAGTAATATTACGCAGGTTGAAAAATCATTTTATTTTTTGGGTACATCTCGAAAAGTAAAAGAGTTGCTTATTCGATGTCGAAAAGGGAGTTGTAGATTTCACGGAAATAAATTTTTGAAGTATTTTTATTTATTTTTTCAGAACCATATTAATTCTTAAAAAATCGAAGAAATTATTGGAAAGAATAAAAAAAAAAATCATTATTATTATGATATATCTTTTATCTTTTTCATATTTTCATTTAAACGGGTGAATAATAAAAAAAAAAAAAATTTAAATCTCATCAAAATACAACTTTTTTTGTGTTGTAAAATTTTATTGAAATTATAGTCCTGGTGGTATATAGTAAGGCATTAAAAATTTTTTTTAAAATAAAAAAGAAATTGCCGATCATACTTAGTTTAAAGTTGACATTATACGACAAAGTTGTGAGTACAAAATTTGTGGATCTTGAAAAATACTTNTTAAAAACCCGCTAAAAACCGACGTATTCGTGCTAATTAATAAATCAAATTAAATTAAAATGAATTAAATTATAATAAAATAAAAAATTATTTTCCATTCAAACGAATATATGGTTGTACTTTTTGCTCTAATAAAAAATGGAGCAATCGGGCCTTTGATGCATTAATTTAGCTGCTTCTTTTTACCAATTATCAAAGTCGACTCGAGTAGTACGTCCTTTACAGAGTTGACGGACAGCTTTTGACGGAGAAAAAAAAGTCTCTCTCATTGAAAAATACTTATGAAAATTTATGCGGATTATGTAAGTTGACGTTTGTCTGGAATCCACCGAAGGCAGGTAAACGTCTGTTAAATCCGATAGTCAGGAAAAATTATCATTGTTATGAAATGAACGAGCGATCAAAGACACGCGAGAGATTAGATTACGATCATTTTGTAATAAACGCACTCCTAGATGTAATAATTACCATCTGACGTTTGCGATAAGGGGATTGTAGGTTTATGGATTTTCTGATTAATTCAAACCGTACGAAATTCGATCAAGGTTATTTTGTCACGCAAACAAAAACGATCATACAAACAAATGTACAATAGAGATACAGCGTAGTGTTACCTACGCTTACCGTCCAGTTTCTTGTAGGATCCAATGCGATACGGAACTCACGTGGTCGTTCAGCCGAAACGTGCCACCCTTTTTCGCGTAGAGTATCGCGTTTTCCAATGCGATGAGGACGAAAAACGGCAACCATACCTTTACAATGAAACACAGTTTTGGTACAATCTGGAAAGAAAAAAAAAAAAAATAATAATAATAATAATACTCTCACCTGGAGCTGATAGTCGGGCACGTCCTCGTGCCTCTCGAACGTCGTCTCGTAAGGGTTGACGATGTACAATAGCATGCTGGCGGGCTTCATACTGCCCAAGAGCTCGCCGTAGCCCTCGTACTTTGTCACGTTCATTTTGCCTGTGTCTTTGCATGTACAGTAGACACAGGTTGTTCAAGACTCCCTTGTGCTGGACTGAATCTGTAAAATGTTTGTGATTTTTTTTCAAAGGAAAACGATGACAAAGGAATCGAAGGAGATTTTTTTCAGCAAAACTTTTGTTTTTCAACGCGATAGTCGGTACTTTAGCTTCGAATGCGATTGCACCGAAAAGATCTACTGTTGCAAGATAACATCAATGCGATATTTGTTTCTTCCACGTATTTTTCGTTAAAAAACATTTTACGTAAGATTTCATTTGCAGCTCTCGTATGTATACTTGATAGCAATACCATTTAGCAACGTAACAAAGTTGGTTTGCACGTTTTTTTTCTTTTTTCTTTTCTTTCCATTCGGATGTAGAAATATATGGGTCGTTACACAGAAAACGGAATATCCCGAAGGCCAGGATGAATAAAGACTAAAAAGAAATTTTTTATTTTACTAATAATTTTCTTATATTATTTGAGACTAAAACGAACCACGATTTTCGGGGTGCCGCCAAAAAAAGTTGGCTTTTAGTTTTTATTTTGGGGACACTGACTTTACAAATTCGCATACTTGTAGATCCAGCTTATAGGAATGGAAAAATCGGAAAAAATTTCTGCAAAACATTGAATTTTCGTAGAGTACACAACATCCAAATTGGAATGTCCAAATTCAAATGCGTGCATTTGTGAGAGCATTTTCTATCAAAATGTTAAATTTTTCAAATTTCGGTCCAACAGCATCCAAGTATTGGATACAATTTTTTTTGGTTTCTTAAAATGCGTGAAAATGTTGTTTACGTTGATAACTTTGAGATTCTATATGCGGCGAGTGAGACACGATCCCCTAATACTAATTTAGCCCCTTTTTTGCATTTAAAATTAAAGGACTACTTTTTGATGATCTGAATTCGGTTGTTCCCTCAGTAGAAAACATCCGTTGATTATTTAAAAAGTTGATCGGTACCTATTTCCACGACGTTGTAATCATCTGGAACCTGAAATATGCCGTTTTCGATAGAATGACCCACACATACGTGCGCAGATGATTAAAAAAATCGTTTGCAAAAACGTCGCACCATATGATATACTGTTGCACAAGTCAACGAACGATTTTGGGTTAATAATCTCGTACCAATCGAATTATTCAATGAAATTCTTTCTGCATTAACCAAAAATCGAAAATCGGCAAGAATCAATTAATTTTTTTTCTCAACAGCAATTACAATAAAAGAAACGTTTACATGTACAAGTTCTCTGGTTTTTGTTTTACTCCGTTTAAGGAGTTTTTATAACCGCCATCGCCGCCGTTTAATAAGAAAAAAAAAAAAAAAAAAAAAAATATTTGTCACCCACAGCTGCGCCCTAATTAATGATAAAATATTGGATTATTTCAAACCTTGTATTTTCTAGATGAAAATAGTTAGAAACCTTAGTTGTCGTACGTGGCGTGCTCTTGAGTAAAATACAATTATTGATTTTCACTTTGGCTTACTGCATGCATAATTACGACAGCCAAACTGATAGCAGTTTAGAAACTGTACGTTACGTCGGCTACAATGGAATTTTAATTTTTAAAGTAATACTTTTTAATTTTTTACCGAAAAAACAAAATTTTTAGTCTTAAAAAAAAAAAAAAAAAAAAAATTGTTGACATCGTCTGTTTCTAGAACCAGAATAACCGGACCAAGTAAAAACATATTTCTACCAAAATAGTGACTCGTTCCCCTTGAAGTAAACAGAATATTTTTGTTTTCAACCAACATAAACAAATACCTGTTGCTTCCTTGCAAAGGTAGATTTTTAATGGCCGTAAAATTCCGTATCGAGATAAAAGTTGTAAATATGTTTTCTAAACTTGTAACTTTAGAATCGAAATACACTACTCTGGCTAAAATGTGTGCGTGCATGTTAGTAGTTAGTCATAACAAAGCTTTTTTTTTTACAATATAATCACTGCTGAAAAAAAAAAGATTCGGGTTTTTTCGTCTTATTTATTTTTACTTCAGTTTTTATTGATTTTTTAAATAAAATAGTTTTTAGTTATTTATAATAAAAAATCAAAAAGATCACGAGCTTTCCTGCAATGAAACGTATTGATGATTAATCGGCATCGAAAACAATGACTGCATTGTACCATAGAGTGGACGAAATCAAGCGAATATTGTATGATCAATTTATTATTTTGATCGAAGCGACAAATGATGTCATGAACAGACGTTTAGCAATTAAAAAATAAACAACAGGGGCTAGGAAGCTTTGTGGCGATGAATTGGCCACAATAACGCGCAAACGCGCGATGTTTATTACTCGTAAGAGGATGTAAACAATCCAACGATTATTTGTTAATTTCTTTTTTATCTCACCTCAAGTACGCAATAAACCACGTTAATATATAGCTGTAAAGGTATGCGACGTAATATTGAAAAATACAAGCTGATAAAAAAAAAACGGTTTTACGTACCAAAACAGTTTAACGTCAGAATCAAATTTGTCGTTCCACTCCTTCGACTGGCGGTTGATGTATTACAAGCAAAATTGACGTGCTCGTAAAAACGCAAAAAAAAAAAAAAAAAAAAAAAAGAAAGAAAAAGTCGCAAAAGCTCCTATCCAACGTTCGCGAAAATAACTCCGCTCCAATTTTCCTCCTCCACCCTACAACTTAGATGATAGCTTGGTTGAACCGTTGTGCGAGTCAAAAGCGTTCCTATTAGCGTCCGTTGCCTCTTGCACTTGAACGCCGCACTCGATGCACTTGCAGCGCTTTTATTTGTCCCCTCCTACGCTCGTATCAGCTGTACTTTTTGCACTCTAAAACCCCCGACGGCAAACCCATGTCCCCAAAACGATTCGAAACTGATTTCTTATTTCAAATCATCTTTCGAACCCAATGTTTGTATCAAGAGCGCGATCGCGTGCGAAATTCGGCCGCGGCGTTGGGGGCAGCGGGTAAACCTGCACATCGGCGGGCGAGAAGAAGCACGAGAGACTCGGCTTATACTCGCCGCATGTGTGTTTTATAAAGCCCCTCGGGGTGGGGCTGTATACGTGTGTACGTGCATGCGCCTCTCCTCTCGCATTATATAAGCCAACGAAGACACGACGCTATTATAAGAGTGTGCGATGCATTTGTGCTGCAGCAAAACATTATATAGGTACAAGAGAGACTTTCCGCGGTGGTGGGTGGTGGGTGGTGCTCTCGTGAATCGGCGACGCGTCGCTTTATTAGCCGAAGACGGAGAGGGGCTTGTACACGCACATTTATATATATACTTGTACTCATGTCGCATAGTGCAGCTGATACGTGCATTACGCATATAATACCCATATCTCATACAAGAGTGACTTCCTCCGGACCCTTCTTCTGTCGCGACTCTTCTTGTTTTTTTTTTTCTTCGTTTTCCTTTTATTGAGATGTGAGTCGCGATTCAAGTTTTAATATACATAATATGTACGCCGCGAAGATCGAGATAAGAGTATATCTAGTACATGTTTCGCTTTGCACGGGTACATTTGCACAAGGGGATGGGAAATGGTTTTTTATTTTCAAACCAGTAATTCTTATCGATGAAAAAAAAAAATATATACATAAATGTATATATATTTATTTTCAAATATTTTTTATCAATGCCGATCGTAAATATTATTTTTGACGTGTGAGCACAGTAGTATAGACCACATGTAAAATGGAGCACAAAGTATATAGGTATACGCGGCATCGCGAAGAAACACTTTAACGATATGGCGTGCACGTAATATATACGCTCGCTAATTGAGGACAATAAATTACCACCTGCCGTGGCTGTAATTTTTGTTCGCTAACCTGTTATTTGGAGACTGCAGGCACATTTTTTTTGATCCCACAAAAATCTTATTATTTTTTTTTGTTTGTTTCATAGTAATAAATTGCTGATAGGTGTTTTTGCACTTTTATAACGAGCAACGGTGCAATGCTGTACGCGATTGTTTTAGGGTACATTGATTGTTCCGACACGATCCCGTGCTGATTGCAGGGAGCTTGCAAGTTGAGCTTTTTGTAGTAGTTCCGCTCGCGGTGGTTGTTAAAAAAATTGCACGAAACGGAGGTGCTGGTCGGGCTTAATCGCCGTGCGGTGGAATTTGCATATCAGAGTAGTAATATACATGCTTTATGACTCGTCTCTACCTCGAGTCTGACACGAGGTTATTATTGTTTTGTTTTTTTTTTTTTAATTCAAAAATCAGATGGGTGGATGATTAAATTGCGGTGATTAGGAATCAATCAGGAACGATGATACGGCGAACTTGGCCAGACGAGCGATGCTTTTTTTTTCTCGACAAATTGCCTCGTTACGCGAGTCGCGAATCTCGTTTGGTGTGATAAACACCGGTTTAATCATTTTTTTTAAAAACTTGTATCACTTGAATAGTGTCACAGATAATAGTTGGGCTTTTATATGCACTCGATTGACGTTGACAGTTTCAATTGTTTGAATTAATTTTTCCACGTAAAGGGATAAAAGAGTTCACTCGATAAAACGCCCCGTTAGTGTATATCATTGTCTTGATGGATGACTAAGGGAAGACAATGTGATGCTTGACTATATAATGTACCCGACAAACTAAGATGTAATTTTTTTTTTTTTTCTTTTCTTTTCAACTCAACCGTACCTTATAACCGTGGGTAAATTTTTTGTTAGTAATTTCGTGAATATAGAAATATAACATGTTGTCGGATAAACATTTATGATTTTCATCAATAAAATACAAATGGAGTGCAAATCAATTGTCATTTCCTCTCGATAATTTTAGACAATCGAGGTAAGCTACTGGTAATCAAAAATTGTGGGGACAAAGTGCGCAAAGCCACGCGTACTGTACGAGTATAAATTACGTAAGTAGTGTTACACAAGGAATTTGCTTTACGTTACACACTACTGGATGTCCTTTTTTTCTCAACGAACGCAAAATAAGCTATCATGATTTCAAGAGTTGTATCGTTTTATCACCCTAGTTTGATTATCATCCGTAAGTGTAAACAAGAAAAAAAACTTTTGTTGTATTTTTTTTTTTTTTTTTTTCAGTTACAAATATCCAACCATACCAATCTCACTGATTGTAGAACAATCATAAAAAAAATGTATTTACTTTGCAGCGTCTCTGTAGTTTGTTCTAGAAAATTTGAGTAAGTAAGGATTATTATAAAATATGATAAAAAGAAAAAGAACACATGCACAAGTTCATCGGCACTTTCATGAAAAACAAATTATTTGCATATTATTGTACAACGTGACTAATGGGAAAAGTCGTGATCACCTTTCATAACAAATGTTATGCGTCGTTTTGGATTTTTGAAAAATTCGAAAAACTTTACTTCTTTGCTTCCAGAAATGGCGAATAAAAAAATCGAAAGCACGCAGATACCTACAAAAAAATGCGAGCTTTTAAATAAGATGTATTGTTGATGTTAGCTATCGTACATTTTTTTTTTTTTTTAAGTTAAAAGCGGCAGAAGTGACATTTTCATCAATTTATATTCAACTTTGTTTCATCGAATTTTGAAAAAAATTCCACATCTGCTGATTGAATTTCTTTTCTTAGAAACAAATTTCGATGGAATTTACGAGAAAATACGCCAGCTAAGCTTTTAAAAAGGACCTGTAGAGCAAAAAGAAGAAAAAAGAAGTTAAATTGGAATCAGTCAGAGCTGAAATTATTAAAATTATTGCAAAAAAAGTTTTTTTTAAATTCAATTTCAAAGCAATTATCTACGTATAATATGTTACATACTTTATGTAAAAGTGACGACAAATTTTCCAAATCATCACATTCAGCTTTGAGTTATGACAACATGCAAAAAAAAACCACTATTTTTATTTTACACGTGTAACCGCGTGTATCAATGTATACACGCAAAAAAGAAAACGCAAACGGGGCCACAACTGCGCGCGATAACAACAGCACCCAAGACTCTTTGTATACAACGCTTAACTTTTTTTTATTTTATTTTTTTCTTCCACCGCCTTTCCTATGATTAGAAGAGTTAAATAAACGAAACGACAAATAGATATAAATAGCGAAGCACCAAACGACAGCCACCGCGGCTTTGTTTTTTCCAGCCCATCATCATTGTCGCCGCTTTTTTTTATCGTCTATCCAGTCGCACTCTACTCTTCTTCTTCTCCCAAACAATTACAAATAAATATCAGTCTTTGAACAGCTCTGATGCCAGTCACGTGCTTATGTTTGCCTGTACATACGCAATTAAGCTATCGCCCACCAAAGTTCAATAGCTCGAGGGAAATTAATTTTTATTCTTATCGCTCACTCTGTATACGCTCCGGCTCTCACTGTACGTACATTCTCGTTTTTCTTTTTATCAGTCGCGATAAAAAGTTATTGCACCTTGGCCACGCATAATATGCGCACACACGCACAACGCTATGATGTGTGCTCTCTGAATTGGATTTGCGAAACGTGCGGGCGAGTAACGGACAGGGACCGTACCATGTAACTATTTTTCTGTACATTGGCCTATATGTTATATAACACTGGCCCCCGAAGCGAAAAAAAGTTATGTGGTACGGCCACAGAGTGAACTTGCAAGCGATACATATATCTATACGTTTCTAATTTCGTTTACTTTTCACGAGAGGGTTTTGCAAGCAAGTGCGTGCGCTTAGGTTTTGTAATCAGTAGGGATCGCGGTGGCTCTCGAGAAACACTGGAATATCGCAAGTTTCACAATGCGATGGCCCATCATCCCATTGAATTTTTTTTCAATGTGTATTCGATTTAATAACGGTTATGAGCGGTTGATAATGAGATACGGTTCCGGTCAGGAGCTCCAAATCTATTTCGTTGCATCGACGAAAAAAAAAGATAAGATCCGACGTTACACAGGATATTTTGTAATTGACGCATCTCTGCTTCGAGGTTTCTCTTTTTCCATTCTTTTTCGATGATCGTTTGAACCAATGTAATGTATTATCTTATGGATCGGGGTGAAATTCGCGAATAACGAGACGTATTTTTGAATTTGAAAAAATTTCCCCCCTCGAGAACTGTATGTCATTCGGTGCCATTTTTCTTTGGGCTACAGTAAGTTCGTTTTAGCGTAGATTCTAATCATAGCTGTGGATATAATTTTAACATGTAAATCATGGAAAAAAGGGTGTCACCCTCACTGAAACCCGTGTTCAAAATTTTTTTCTCATAGTACATGGAATTATGAGTAAAATGAGACTGGTTTCAAGGGTGTGCTTCAAAAAAATTTTTTTTATTAAAATGAGGGACAACAACGGGATATTTTTTGTGGATTTCTTCGTATGTGCGTCATTCTACCAAAATCAGTATATTCCGTATCCCAGTCCATTACAACGTCGTGTAAGGAGATATCGATCTGTTTAAAATAATAAAATAACTTCTTGAAATAATCAACGGATGTTTTCTACTGAGGGAACAACCGAATTCAGATCATCAAAAAGTAGTCCTTTAAGAAACCAAAAAAAATTGTATCCAATACTTGGATGCTGTTGGACCGAAATTTCAAAAATTTAACATTTTGATAGAAAATGCTCTCACAAATGCACGCATTTGAATTTGGACATTCCAATTTGGATGTTGTATACTCTACGGAAATTCAATGTTTTGCAGAAATTTTTTCTGATTTTTCCATGCCAAAAAAAACCAGTACTATACAATCTCACAAATTTGTAAAGTCAGTGTCCCCATAATAAAAATTAAGAGCCCGTAACGGTAAATAGTGTCATGTAACTTTGCGAGGCGTTAGATTATTATAGCTAGTTTGTATAATTTATAGGTGCAGTAGCGAAGTTTAGTTTTCATTTGGTGCGTTTTTGTATACAATCTCGATTTTTCGACGCATTTGTAGGAGCCCGTGACCGTCCTTTTTTGTCCAAAAGCCCGTAACGAAAAAAAAACGCATTTTATCTTTGTTTAATGTTGAATTATCGACATAAATGTAAAAACAAAGTCATAATATCATTGACAGTGCCGTTATATCGGTTGTAATGAGATCGTATATAAGAGCCGGTAATGCACTTATTATTCTTGAATAAAGTAAGAAAGTCGTACACATTTTTCTCGTGCGGATGCAACAGGGCCTAAAAATCACGGACAATACGAAAAAAATTTTGTCACAATTCAAAATTTTAAGTGTTGTACAATAGTATTACACTTCTTCAGCTATTCTGCCTCTTAAAATATTATGGTTCTCGTAAAATGACCCATGTCCCATGTAATAGTTACTGACAAAGGAAAAGTGACTATCGTACCTATTAATAATAGAGTTTTCACATAAAAAAAAAAATTATGCATAGTGATAACTAGTGCTGTATTTCCTGTTACTGTTATAATTGTTGATTTAATTCGTGATAATTTGATATTCAGCGGTTGGGCGGGTCTGATGTCAACTGGGGTAATGAATGTAATTAATGTCTTAACGAATTATAAAATGTATTACAAATGAATAACACACTGTGAGATGAAGATGCACAGTTTATAACTCGTGTCGTAGCAAAAATGTAATCCAAACGACGCGAACTGAAAAATGGACCAAATTTTTTTAAAGGTCGATTTTTGGGTAGAAGATGAATTTACATCTAGCTACACATTGCATAATTATTTGATAATTTCATATTTCCTAGCTGTTCGTCTAAATTGCGGCTGGTTTATAAAATTCATTACATAGCACTACTTCAATTACCCCATAAATTTTCTACTAAAATTAAATATACCAAAAATATATCAGATGTCTGCTAATCCAAAGATTTTTCGATTTTGGTGCGAGGGTTGCGGCTGGTTTAGATTTTCAATCACCTTGGGCTTTAGCATTGGGGCTATTGGATTTTCAAACGGTAAAGTAGGAAGTTGGCGCTGACCTTTATCGATTGGAAAATTATACGAACACATGTGCACATGTGCGTCGAATCGTCGAATGAGTCGATATTCAACAAAAACACCATGTGTTTGGGTGTATAACCTGTAAAAAGAGTGCGCCCGCCTGCCTTTTGGAGCAAGAAAAAAAAAGTGATAGGTATTAACTACTTTCAAGTATTTCAAAGCCAAGGTACGGTTGCTCTAGATAATTATTGTTTCAATGTTTTAATTAGGCATCGTTTGTAATTCATGTTGGTTTTAATAGAAAGTACGAATTGAAGTGTTATTGTTTAATTTACAGTGTCAAAATGAGATTGAAAAAAGGCAAAAGAATTGAAAAAATGGCCAAGCAGCACGTAGCAAGAAAAAAGAAAAAGAAGAATTTGGCCGACGTGACGACGGACGACTTTTTCGAGCAGGACTTTGAAAATATGGACCTCAGCGATGACGAGGAGGTCGATGATGCTGAAGATGAAGAAGAAGAATCCGAAAATGTGCAGTCTAAAGACAAAAAGAAGCAGCTTGGTAAGTTGTTTTTTGTTTATCTTATCATTAGATATTAGATTGAATGACGTTTGTTTGTTTATGACGATAATTGGTATTTGTAGTGAAAAAAGTGAAAAAGTCAAAGATCAATGCTGAAAGTAAACAGGACGAGTCGATGGAAGTAGATCAAAAGCCATCAACGTCGGCAAAGAAACCTGACGAGAATAAAAAAACTAAAAAGCCAGGTAAGCTTTATAAATTTTCTCCTTTCTTTTCAATTTTAATTAACATTTATTGGTGTAGTCAAAAGAGCCAAAACAAAACCAGATACAGAAGTCGATTCTGACAGCAGTGACCCAGAGGATGACGCAGTAGCACACAGAAAGTCCCTTATGAATTTGAAAGAAACAGATCCAGAATTTTTCAATTACCTAAAACAGAACGATGCGAAGCTCCTCGATTTCAATGCCGACGATGATGTGGCCTCATCGGCAGATGAAAGTGAATCGAGGCATATTCCAACAATCGAAGACTTGGAGATAGCCAGCGATGAGTCAGATTTTGAACCAGATGATGCCGAAAAGACAGATCATTCGGGATCCACGATTAAGGTGACATTGCAGTTGATCAAGACCTGGCAGCAAGAAATACAAACAGATAAATCTGTCAAAACTATTAAAAACGTGGTCGAAGCATTTCACGCTGCTTTGGAAACTGTGAGTGACGTCGAGATTCAAACTACAAAGTACAGGGTTGAAGGAGGTGCAATTTTCAATGGCATTGTTCAACTATGTGTCATGCAGTTATCAGAAGCTCTTAAACAGTTCTTGAAGGTTGGCGACAAGCCTAAGTTTGAAGCACACAAACTCAAGAGGTTTCCAAAAGTTAAGAGTGTCATCAAGTCCTATTTAGTCGATCTTACCAAAATTCTTGAAAGCATTTCATCAGCCAATATCGTTACAACGCTGCTAAAACACCTGCATCAAATGCTACCTTTTTCCCTCTCATTTTCTTCGCTACGTAAACCACTCTTACGTATTTTAATAAAGTATTGGTCCACCGGTGAAGAGGAAGTCATAAGAGTTGTAGCTTTCCTGTGTATTGTAAAAATATCACTGACCAACAGTGCGATTTTCAACAGTTTGCTCAAAGTCAGTATTGAACATTGTATTTTTTCGTTGTTAAATTGTATCCTCGTGTGCAGCACCTTTCAAATTATTTAAATTTCAGACAATGTACATGAAATACGTCGAGAATGCAAGGTTCGTTTCGCCCAACACTTTAGCTGGGATCAATTTCATGCGTCGTTCCCTCGTAGAGTTGTATCTGCTAAACACCGATTATTCCTACACCCACGCCTTTATGTATGTTCGTCAGCTAGCTATTCACTTGAGGAACGCCTTGACGTTAAAGAAAAAGGTTTGTTCACAATTTGTTTATTTATTAATCAATGGACCAAAGGCTCACTTGCGTAAGATTAAACAAATGTAAACATTTTGTAACATTTATGCAACTAAAATATTAATTTTGAAAAATTTTCAAGGAACACTTTCAAACGGTATATAACTGGCAGTACATCAATTCGTTGTGGTTCTGGTCAGAACTGATTGCCTTATCCAAAAGCGAGTCGTTACTGCGTAATTTGCTCTACCCTCTCGTTCAAGTAGGTTTGCATTTCCAACTAAAGTGCATCTATTTCTGAACCCAAGTACAATGATTTTCATACCTTTTGCAGATCACCATTGGAGTGGTTAATTTGATACCAACCATGCAATACTATCCTTTGAGATTCCATTGCGTTAAAATGCTCATCAATATGTCACGAGAAACAGGAGTGTTCATTCCATCCATACCACTTGTGATAGAGGTAAGGCTTGATGAATTTTGCGTAAATTTTTTTGTTTTCTTCGTTACAAACGCGGTGTTTCGTTTGGTTCCTGTAGTTGTTGGACAAGTACGATTTCAACAAGAGGCATAAAGCTGTTGCCATGAAACCACTGTCTCTCATGTGCATGTTGAGGGTGTCCAAAAGTCAGTCGCGAGAAAACGTGTACAAGGACGCTCTGATAGAAAACATATATGAAATTACACTGGAAAATGCAGCGAAAGACAGCTCTGCAATATATTTCCCAGACCAGTACGTTTTCGCAGTTTTAGAGGTACGTACAAAGAATCTTTGGACAAGTAGTTTACGGTAAAACATGAATTTGATGCATTTTATTCCTCCCCATTGCCTTGCAGTTGAAAGGATTCCTTAAAAAGTGTAAAGTAGCAAACTATTGTCGCAAAATGAAGCAGCTGCTCGAGAAGATCGAGGAGAATCGCAAGTTCATCATAACCGAGCGCTCGAAGCGCACCTTCGATCTGTTCAATTTGAAGGAGATCGATGCCTGGGAGAGCGAGATCAAAGCGAAGGGCACCCCGCTGAACAAATTTTACGAGGCGTGGCTCAAGGTGCACGAGGTGCAAAAGATGAAAATGTTGACGCAGAACGACGAGATCGCCGCGGAGATGCACGTGCCGCCCGCCAAGAAACCGAAGCGCGGAAAGCCGAGACCGAGCGACAGCGACGAGGACAGCGATCTAGAGATTCCGGTCGAGGAGATGGAAAAGAGGCTGAAAAAATCGGCGGCCAAGAAGGCCAAGAAAACGCCGCAGAAGTCGAAGAATCAGGTCGAGAGCGAGGACAACGACGACGACGTTATGGACGTTGTGCAGGACATCAAGGACTGGGACTGAGTTCTTCGCACCCAAAAGCTCGTCCTAGCTTTGTACGGGCTGGAGAACGTATGCCGTCTGAGCTGTAAATTTGAATGTTCATATACATTTGGCAATGTACACCGTTTGCTGCGGTCACAACAACCGTCAGCCCATTTTTTTCCATTTCTCCTACTCTATCATTCGTATTTTTATGCTCCCGTTCATCAGCTGAGCGCAAATGTACATAAGATATTTACTTTTAATAAATAATTGAATGAATAAAGCACGTGAAGAAACCCTCTTTTTTTGCTCTCGCGATTCCGCAACTCGGTTATTTTGCGCGTTCCAAGCGTCTCGTTTGTTAAACAAGTGTACACAACTTTCGCACCTTTCCCGAGAGTGCACTCTACACACGAGCGTAAAATCAGTTGGGTCCAAAAATAAGCATCGAGAATCGCGGTATCGCCGACACCTTGGGCAAAACGACAAGCCCCGCAGCTGTGCCAAAGAACGGAGTCCAAAAAACGAGAAGATCGATTGTTCCTTTTTTTTTTTTCTTTTTTTTTCTCTCTTAAAACCCCCTGCTGTTCTCTCGAGAGGAAACACAGTTTCCACTGTCGTACTGTTCACAAGCGTCGGCGCGACGATGATGATAAAAACAACAGCTCGATACGTGTCCATACACTTACACCCGGTGCCAGAAAAGCAAACGGGCCATTAAACTCGGCAGCGGTGACAATAACATCGCACAACGGCCCTCGCACTCACAGAGAGAGAGAGAGAATATAGTGCACAATTAAACCCATCGCGGGTTTGGAAGAGGAGCATTCAGAAGTTTTGCGTCAGCCGGAGAAGAAGCAGCTCGCGCGCGAAAACTCCTCCGTTCTATATACGTGTTAGATCGCGACACCGCGGGCAGCAGCAGCACAGAGGAAGAAGAAGTGTAGGAACAGCGGCAGCTCTCCTATTTTTACCTGAAAGCTTTTCACTTGTACGTTACAAGCGAGCACAGAGAAGAAACGAGGGAATAAAAGCCGCATCACCGGAGAGAGAGAGAGAGAGAGAGAGAGAGGAGGCATACACGTTTTCACACGGGGACCGGGAGCTAGTACACGCGCACAAACTATATATATATCCAATGAGTTAGAGCCACAACGAGGATAGAGAGTCACGGGGAACGGCATCATCAGTACTGGAGGTGAGCTTGCGGCGTGTGCTCTCTGTATCTGCTCGTGTTTATAACGTACTCTCGTTGCGGTAAACGGTCAGGTGGCGGGTTGTAAGTTTGCCCCGATCGCGCGCCCGCTCGTTTTACTCCTCGATGAGATCGGCGTACGTGTCCTGATACGATCGGGAGTTTTGGAGGTACTCGAGGTAAGCCTACATGTGTGAGTGTATCACCTCCACCTTCAAGTCCTTCAACGTATAAACCACCCGTAGCGCGTGGAGCTTTTTTTGCAACCCACGAGTGTCACCGCGATGATGGAGAGGGGGGGGAAGCTCGTGTGTTTGTGTTGTTTGTTGTGCCACGTACGAGGAGGAGCGATGCGTGGATCCCCACACTCACAGAATCGTGTATGGTATATATACAGAAAGAAAGCTCTCGGGGTACGGGCATTATATACCTGTATTTTTTTTTTCCTTTTCTTTTTTTGTAGATCGAGAGAGAGAGGCCGTTAAACTTTCGGGTTATTTTTGTGCAAAAGGACCGCAGGCTCGCTCTCGGGGCACGTATCAAACACACACCCACGCGCGATGGCACCAAAAGCTTATAAACCGTGAGTTCATCCGGCTGCTGATGGCTATTTAAATTGCGAAATTCGTGGATTTCTTCTTCTTCTTCTTCTTCTTCGTGTGTGTTATGTAAACACGAAACCTTGGGGTTGCCGTGACGTTGGAAATTGTCGGAATAATAATAACAATAATAAAAATAATGTCGAGTTAACGATTTACGGGCTTGTCTCGCGTCGCGTAAGTTACACACGTTCCCCGGCCGCGTTCGAATCGGAGCTTGAAAAGCTCGAAATAACACACGCGCGGCCGGTGAGAGCTTTTTCGTGCGGGGGGTTACGCGAAGGGGCCTCGTGAGATATTGTACTTTTGATACTTTACACGTTTCTGCTCTGTACCGTTTTAAAAGATTTGGGGCACATGTGACTCTGTAGTAGAGCCGATCGGTTGAGCTTTTTTTTTTTTTCAATCTAAAAATATCGAGACAAAGGATTACTACACTTGGGACTTTCTTCGCTTATGAAATAACAATGAATGACTCGATATCAAGATTTGGAAATAAAGGAAACACAAAGTAATTAATACACGCGAAAGTCTCTAATCACCAAATTAATAAAAAAAAAAAAAAAATGTAATTATCGATTAGGATGGTATGATTGTGAAAGGCGATTCTTTTTTTTTTCACGCTCAAAGTATTGATCGACGAAACGCGGCAATCAAGCTTTTAGATACAATATTCCGTGCCAACTGTACGAGCGTCGACGCCCTTGTGGAAACGCAGAAATACTAATATACAAAATACTCGTACGTTATGTTTCATTAGCGGTGCAAGAAAACGCACTCAAGGGGGTATCGCGCACGTGAGAGGAAAAGATTGATGAGTAAAACATTTGCTCTTCGGATCGGCTGTGCTACTCCTCGACTCGTCTATCCAAATCGGTATCAAAACCTAAAGCGAATTTGATGAATGCAACAAGCCATTTGTTGGAAAAGAAAAAAAGAAACCGAGGATGTACGACGAAAATATACAATTTTTACGCAATATTGCACCAGCTCGTGTCAGCAGGGAATATAACATAATACGTATATATAGGTAACCGGTAGGACGAAAAATCTCCAAAACAAACTCGAGACATCGGCGATTATACACACGCGCGCGTGTGTGTTATATATATATATATGTATATCGTCTCGTATCCACTGCCACTCTCTCCCCGTCTATAAATAACCACGGCCGCGTACATGCATCGGCGAAAGCTCCCCGCGAATCGTCTAAAACCAACGTATACGCATCGGCAAGTCCACCTTTACCGATCGGCCTCAACACACATGCGTATTTTTCCCCCCGACAATGAGTATTCTCCTGTTACAGCTACAGTGAAAATATAACAATCCCCCGCGATCCGCAAGCTCGACAACGGAGCGCGCTCTCGGTGTTGCGTCTGCTGATGCTGTACGTCTCTCTCCCTCTTTCTCCTCTCACCATCGCTCCGAGAGAAAGGGAGACGGAGAGGAAATGAAGAAGAAGAGGAGGAGAAAGAGAGAGAGAGAAAAGCTCGCGGACGGGGATGACGATGATGATGATGCGGTGGCGGTATTAGTGCCCACCCGGCTCTCGATATATTAAAAGCGCGGAATCCCCGCGGCGTTCGAAAAACCCGATCGAACGAGCTGTTCCTCGCCAGTGCTCGTGGTAATCAAGATCTGGTTTGCCGTGCTTGCGACACCTGCACGCGCCTTTGTTCCGATAAGAAAAAAAAAAAAAAAAAAAAAAAGCTCTCGCGAGTACGCAAAGAGGAAGAAAAAGTTGTGCGCGCGTATATGATTGTGGTTTCGTATACGTACAGTGGCCCCATATACATATATCAACGAGAGGTGATAAGTTTAAGAGGGAGAGAACAAGTGCGCGCGCGACCATGAGGAGGAGTAGCTACCACTCGCTGGCGACGCAGCAGCCGAGCGATAAGTACATATATATACATATATATACGTATACCTATAATTGCGTGCGGTGTCCAACCAAAAGTAGTAACAGAGGAGGAGAGAGATAATAATAATAATAATAATAATAATAATAATATACAGGCATCAACGCGTATAGGTGTGTGNTTTTTTTTTTTTTTTTTTTTTTTTTTTTTTTTTTTTTTTTTTTTTTTTTTTTGTGGCGCGTATGAATTTTTTACTTATGATATTTTTTATTGTTCCGTTTCGAAACAGCTGGCAAATTGTATGACGGCACGTATCACGGGCCAAAGATCAACAGCTACCAGAACCTCAAGAACTACAACACCGCGCCGAGGGGCTGGGACGGCTCGCAGCCCGTTTATAGGCCCATCAGGTTCGAGAAGCCTCAAGACACGAAGATCGTTTACTCGGATTTTTGAACGCGCACCCATCGATTCGCCCATTTTTTTTTTTTTTTTTTTTTTTTTTTTTTTCTTAGCAATGTACAGCCGGGTGGGAAATTTGTTAAATTTAGCCGGTTGCGCGTTTACACGCGAGCTTTTTTTCTTCACGAGAGTTTCCGAGAAGTCCGCGGGAGTCTCGTAAACAATGCGCGCGAGCGGCGAACACGCGCGTGGCCGATCCCGATTGATCGCGCAGGCTAATGAGCTTTCGGGAGAGGAGGAGAGGCGCCGAAGTGAAAATTAAAAATAGCAAAGGGGTTTTCGTGTGTTTTGCTCGAACAGTATGTTAATCGAAGCTCGGAATAATATTTTGCAAATCGCCGGGGGCTGAGGTGGAGCGCCAAACGATGTCAAGTGGAGCTTTCCGAGTAGGAGGAGGGAGGTTATCGGAGCGCACGTCGCCGAGCCGTGTAGTATTTTATTTTTAGTTGTTAACATTTTGCGGCAAAACCGGCGTGAAAAATCGTTGCTGGCTCGGCCGAGCTTTTTGCGAATGAGCAGTGGTCGCACACCCCGTACAGCTACGAAAGATTTTCATGGTTACAGGTGTGTGGGTGTTGGGCGTTACTTTTGGTAATTGTGTATTTTGGCAGCGGCCGATCTTCCCTTGCCGCGCTTTTATACGCGGTAGAGCTTGCGGTGTGCGACGCGCCTCTCTTTCGATCCTTTCCCGTTTGTTTCTCTCGCGTTTTCGATGCGATTTTCGCTTCCGAACGAATCGAGCCCGCTACAATACACCGGGCTCCGCTAAAAATACAGCCACGCGCCCATCGTTCTCCGCGTGTATCTTTCGAGCTCTCCGTGTAAGAGGAACGCTAGACATTTTTTTTCTTCCTTTCTTTCTTTTCTTTTTTTTTGGTTTTTTTTTGTTTTTCTTGACGGCGCGATTTTTGTGCGTAGAACAGAGTTTTTTCGTTGCTTTCGCTTGAGGAGACTACTGATCTTTAATATGATTTTGCTCGTGCGTAGGTATTGCAACACAGTCGCAAAAAATAAACACCTTTTGAAATAAACTGCGTGGGTAAACAAATCGCGATGATTAAACAAACTTTTGCCAAACAGTAACAATTACTCACACGCTCAATAAATTATTTTGATCAATCGAATGGATATACTATATTGTACAGTAACAACAAGAGCTTATACGTGCAGTTTGTATTATAAAACAATAGGCCGTACGTGTGTAAATTCGTATCTTGGCTTTGTTTTTACTTAACGGCTGCGGGAAATAGACAAAGATCCGTTTGCCGGTTTCGCAAGCAAAAGACGCCCGCGTGTACTGTGTTTGGGTTTCGTGAAATAAACAAACTGCAACTATGATGAAAGCCAACCGGTGGGAATTACAAAACGATCAATTTGTCGTTTCACTTAATTGGTTGTTTGATTGGAAAAAACGTGCTTTCCGGTGATTTATTGCACCCACCTTATTTTCGTTAACTTGCGAGCCAATCTGCGAGGGACGACAAATTTTAATGAGGAGGGATGCGTTATCCGAGCCATCCGAGACTTACTGGCGATTGTGGAACTCGATGTTCCTTATCTCGCTCGATTTGCCTAGCGGAAGGCAAAATCTTGGCGATAAAAGGTTTTTACGAACGCACGTGTGCATTATAAGTAGGCGATCGAAATCTTGCGAAGTTAATGGCTTTTGATTGGAAATGAAAGTTGATAACGAATTTTTATTTGTACACGATAAATGCCGGTATTACTCAGTGATTAAAAAAAAAAAAAAAGTTAATCTTGTTTTGGGAAGATATTGGTGAACGTAAGGATACAGTTTGCAGAAAATATAACCTTTTAACAAATAAACTGAAATAATTGTTTTGCAACGAAGCTGTTGATTAAAAAAAAGTACCATAAATTATTTAAAAAGTGAGAACTGAAAGAAAAAAAATTAAATTTAAGGTGTTAAGGTATGCGATGTGTTATTGGTTGCGTTGGCGTCTTAGAGCTCGTGAAAAATATTGATGTAGGTATGATGGTTTGATCCTACAAAGAGGCAAACAATAACAATTAATTTCTAATATTATCGTCTGATTTCGAAAATGTGCACCACTTCTTTTATGATCAAGTATTATGTATTTATCTGTTGTCTTTGTACACAAACGTAATCATTTGTGGACAAGGTAATAGCGATGACCACTTATTACTTATAAAAAAAAAAAAAAAAAAAAAAAAAAAAAGTGATAAAGGTAATCGATCAGCTGTAAAACGATTTAATCGGCATCTGATTAGCTGCACACCACAAAGATACAAAACCGTCAGACTCTCATAGGAGATAAAACACACAAATCTGTTGTTGCAGAGCCGATAACGAAACGAGAATAATAGGCAAATCGGTATTATGATCGATACAGTAAAGGGGGGGGGGGGGAGTACAATGAACTCCCGGTTGGTGCCGCACAAGCGACCGATAAATTAAAAAAAAAAAAAAAAATCGACCCCACCGATCCACGAGCGGAAAAAGCTCGATTACGCAACCCTGTGAAAATCTAGAAAAGAGATTGAAAAAAAAAAAGTATAATAAAGTTGGGGGGAGGGGCCAGAACTTCGGGTCCCTTCTTTTTCGACGCTAACGAATGGACCCTATACACACGATACAACTCTTACACGCGCAGCAGTGGCCTACTGCGTGTTACGTTACACCACCAAAGATAAATTTAGTTCGCGGCGATTCTTTTCCACCGAGTGGAAAGGGAGCCGTCCCGAGGCAGACGGACAGACAGATAGACACGCGCACAAGTAGCCTATATACACATGTATGCAGCAGCTTGTACCGATGCCAATACGCGTGGAATTAATTGGCCTCTTCGGCTATACAAGCCTGCACCTACATATGTATACGCGTTGGCTCGAGCCTTTATTTTATTTTANACGGTTACCAGCCTTACCCGGCAAAGAGGGAGGCCTACCGCAGCCACCACAATTACGGCTTTAGCTACCACAACGTCCACAAGCCGTTGCAGCACAGCCAATCGCTGAGCAACGGCAACGGCTGCTACGCCCAGCACCAACAAAACGGGAGCAACGGGCACAAGCACAACGGCAACGAGAACGAAGAGCAGCTGAACGAGGAGTGCGACGAGGAGGCGAAGGAGGACTACACGCCGGTGCCCGTTAAACAGCTCATCCAAGAGTTCGAGAAGACATGCCGGCCGGTCGGCCACTACAACGGCAAGGCCCTCGCCCCGGACACCTGCGGCGTTCACCAGAGCGACATATCGCGCTTCTTCGAGGCGAGGCGCGAGGTTGCCTATCACCACCAGCACTACCACAACAATAGTCATCATCATCATCATAAAAAAAGTAATAATAATAAAAAAATAAACAGAAAACCCGGTGGTAGCAGCGGCAGCAACAAACGCAGCATCTTGAACAACGCGGCCTACAGCATCTTCACGTCGAACGAGAAGACGAGGAATGGGGTACCGAACGGCACGACGCGGCGCGTAAATTACAGCAGCAGCACCCGCGCGACCACAACCACCACCACCAGCAGCGCCAGTAGTTTTCTTCAGCGCAGCGTATCCGCCGACAATGTAGTGGTGCGCCAGCGTGGTTTCAAGCCCTCCGACAGACACGACCCCAACAAACGCAACTTCCTCGAGAACCTCACCTCGAAGATACTGCACTTCGACATGGTATACACGTCCCCACGTAAATATGTACACAATGGCTTACCGATGTTCAGGGAGTTGAATCTTTTTCTTTGGCGCAGGAGAGTGGGAACACGACCCCGATGAACTTGCAGAAACTGCTCACCCCGGCGACGGACTCTACCGAGCTGTTGCAAGTGAAAAACAGTAAGCCGCGTTTTTTTCGCTTCGCCTTTTGTCGAGACGCGACTTTTATATACTTTTTTTTTTTTTTCGTTATGATGGAAGAGTCGCCGATTGATGCAAGAAATGAAGTTTTGCACTGAAATGAAAATCTCGAATAAACTACGGGTCATTCGGCCACTCTTCTTCGGGCAGATATACAATAAATCGAAATATAAATGTATAAAAGAAAAAAAGAATGAAAAGTATGCATGTATACATATACGTACACGTTAAAAATAAAACCTGTGCGGCGCCCCTTGTTGTCCTGCTCGCTCGGGTGTAGAAAAAATGTACGCCTCGTCGTACTTTTACGCGCCGAGTCATCCGACGGTGGAGGACCAGGTGGAGCTGGCGCGCCGAATCTCGAATTCCCTGAGTGACATCAAGAACGTGAAGAGCAAGGGCCAGTCGATGTACGTCAACAGGAAGAAGCGCTCGGTCCAATGGATTCACGACGGTAACTGCAAGTATGATACCGGACTCTCTCTCTCTCTCTCTCTCTCTCTATCTCTCTTTCACTTTTTCGCAACACCTACACACAATCACTTGTAAAATTTCAATTTATCATACATATTTTACACACATCCAACGACACGCACCAATCTTTTTCGTGTTTTTTTTTGTTTTTTTCACCCGATCCTCGAACAATCTTTTTAGTCAGCCCCCCCCCCTCCCCACCCACCTATACCTTAACCGATGGCTCGGGGTTGTTCCTGGGGGTGTCTTTGGATTTCAGGCGCGGAGGAGGATGAGGAGCCCCCGTCTCCCAAACACAAGGTGCGTATATCACCGGTGGCGATGATTGTGCACGTACATGCAAACACGAGCCTTTAACTTTTTTCCTCCGCATTGCGCTCACAGGATAAGGTGCCATTGAAATGCATGATGAACCCGTGCGGCCGAGTCTTGGACATACACGGGATCCAAGCGCTGGGCGAGGAGGTCAACATGCAAGCGATGCCCGAGCACCCGGAAAAACTCTTCGACATCGTGCGGGACTTGAACAACCAAAAGGGCCGCGGTACGTAAAGCGCTCCTTGGACCATTTGTTTCCTTTTTTTTTTTTTTTTTTTTTTTCTATTTTTTTTTGAGTGACATTCATCGAAGTAAAAAGAAAAGAAAATACAATCGGCCATTACGTCAGTGGAGGCCCGGATAAATGGATCAGGTGAGCGGCTTTTATATTTAGAGCGGCCACACGGGCGCCCCGATAGACAGGCCGACAGATGGACGGACGAGGAGCCCGTATAGTGGCCGAGAGGTGACTGGCCTGTTACGAAAACACTTTTTCGCAAACTATTGTCGACGGCCGATTTTGGTGCCAAAAAAAAATCGCGCTTATAATAACGCGCCGATCGCGGCCTCGGGCCTTTGTGCGGTTGGGCGGCCAGAAAAGCGAGCGATAACTCTCGCTGCGCGTCCACCGAGCGGTTGGACATCGATGAACGCGTCGATTTTTCCTAAGGACGCCTAGTTGATATCACTGATCCATCCACTGTGTACGATTGGATTTTCTTCGATAGTGTGCGTTTCCGTGAAATATTGCTCATATAAAAAATATAGTCGTTTTCGTCACAAATTTGCCATCGTCGCCGGGGCTGCTGTTTTGCGGGCGTACGGCGCTTGTGGGTGAGGAAAGAGTATTTTTCTGACGCATACGTTTTTTTTTTTCTTTTGTTCTTCAACGCAGGTGCTGAAATATTCGCGAAGCGCAGGAAAAAATCCGAAAAGTGGGTCGTCGACACGGAACAGCTGCCGCCATCACCAAGTACCTACAACTTCGGAAAGGCACCGACTTACCCAACGAAGCCGGTATTCGTACAAAGAACCAAATATTCTTATTCTGTACCTACGATGTGTTGAAAAAAACAACAAAAAAAAAAAAAAAAACGCTTAAACATTCCCCGCGTTTGCAGGAGAGCGGCGCGAACGAGAACTCCAAGTTCGAAAGCAAGCCGTTCTACAGTCCGTTGGCCGATCGACCGATGGACTACTCGAGCCCTCTGATCTCCAGTAAGTACAATCCCCGCGTTGAACCCACATTTTGTCATATACCATGGCTTCTAGGCGCTTCATTTCACTTAAAAATAATATTAATAAGCAAAAGTGCATGACAGTTTGAAAAAAAAAGTAACAATCGCGCTGCAACGACTAACGAGCTTTTCCGCAAGGCTGCGCTTACCAGCATCTGCAGCAGTATCCCCTGGCGTGCAATTTTGCCCCCAGCCACTCGGACTGCGGTCCGTGTCACGCGGAGGTTAAGAAGATTTACCTTCGCGAGGTGGCCGTGGGTACCGAACCCTCGGAAATCGCGAACAAACCGGTCCCCGATAGCAACGGCAACAGTAAGCCATCACCACGTCGCTCGAGCCTCGAGGGGTCTTCCCAGCGCGGCCCGCAACGCGCCACCAACGGCGCCAGAACCGCCCGCAAGCAGCACCAGGCGAGCAACGGCCACCACTACCACCACAGCAGCCACCATTACCACCACAACCACCACCAGGCGAACGGCAACGGTTACCAGCCTTACCCGGCAAAGAGGGAGGCCTACCGCAGCCACCACAATTACGGCTTTAGCTACCACAACGTCCACAAGCCGTTGCAGCACAGCCAATCGCTGAGCAACGGCAACGGCTGCTACGCCCAGCACCAACAAAACGGGAGCAACGGGCACAAGCACAACGGCAACGAGAACGAAGAGCAGCTGAACGAGGAGTGCGACGAGGAGGCGAAGGAGGACTACACGCCGGTGCCCGTTAAACAGCTCATCCAAGAGTTCGAGAAGACATGCCGGCCGGTCGGCCACTACAACGGCAAGGCCCTCGCCCCGGACACCTGCGGCGTTCACCAGAGCGACATATCGCGCTTCTTCGAGGCGAGGCGCGAGGTTGCCTATCACCACCAGCACTACCACAACAATAGTCATCATCATCATCATCATCATCATCACAATCGGCGGGGCTCCGTCGGCAACGGTAGTGGCCGTCATTACCGAGGCAACGGGTTTGCCAGCTCGGCCGACGAGGAGAACGACGACGATGACGACGAGGAGGAGGAGGGGGCGCAAGAGGACGACGACAGAGAGGACGAGGAGGAGTCGCTCGATGATTCCCTGTCGCCCGTCGACTTTTACCGCGTCGACGAGCGCCGGCACTTTGGCAACCAGACGGCGACGACTGTAGCGGCCGGGGGCGCTAGATCGGCGTCCATGACCACCTTGGACGAGTACTACAGGAGGCAGTTGCTCCAGCGAGGCTCGCCGCCCGCTGATGTGCCCGCGGAGCAGAGGAAAGGGGGGGACGAGCCGGCCGGTGGGGTGGGACCCGAGGTTTCCGAGGAGGACATACTCGCGGCGAGGAAGCAGCTTAAAAGCACCACTGTTCTGGAGAACCTCGTCGCCGGCACCACGACCCCGGAGTGCTTCAAGAAGGAGTTCACGGAGGAAGTAGGCAAGTTCGCGTGGCTTTCGTGTGCAGGGACCAAACGAGGATTATGTGTATATACCTTTGACGATGTCTATACGGTCCGAGGAAGATTTGCCGTGTGCTTTTTCGCTTTGCTTTGCTTTCGTACCACTTATTTTTTCTTTCCTTTGTGATTCCGAGTTTGAAAAAAGTGTCGTAACATGTCCTTCTCTCTAATCACATAGTTTTATACGATCGTTTTTTTTTTTTTGTGTTTTTAAAGTTTTTAACACAATGTGTCACGTACTCGTGCGTACGCGTTGAAACATCAAAATTTTCACTTTAACGCTAACCGATTTCTGTTTTTTTTTTTTTTTTTTTTTTTTTTGTGGCGCGTATGAATTTTTTACTTATGATATTTTTTATTGTTCCGTTTCGAAACAGCTGGCAAATTGTATGACGGCACGTATCACGGGCCAAAGATCAACAGCTACCAGAACCTCAAGAACTACAACACCGCGCCGAGGGGCTGGGACGGCTCGCAGCCCGTTTATAGGCCCATCAGGTTCGAGAAGCCTCAAGACACGAAGATCGTTTACTCGGATTTTTGAACGCGCACCCATCGATTCGCCCATTTTTTTTTTTTTTTTTTTTTTTTTTTTTCCTCTTCTCAAGCTTCATCCGCGGCAAATCGACATACTTCATCGTCAATACCGATAACATTGCAATTTACTACACATCAAACTCACACAAGTCGATCATTACTACTGAGACATATGTGCATTACATGTAATAAAAAAAAATAAAAACATAATAACAATATTGATAAAAATAATACATCGAAACCGATCTCGCGCCACCACCTCTGCAGCAGAAAGAGAGCCATTGAATGAGCTTAATTATTTCGACTTGAAGAAATTGTATCATATACGACAGTCGTCTCGTGTAACACTTGTATACCTATAATGTATGACGTTCGTCCGCGGCGAAGCGCCAGCTCGATCTACAATTGTCCAAGGTAATTAATTTTCGTTGGTCTACATCGGTGACACAGATATCTGAACGCGTGTAGCCTAATTGTTATTTTTAAATTACTTTGTTGTTGTTGTTGTTGTTGTTGTTGTTGTTATTCTTGTATTTTATTTTATTTTATTATTAAAATACTTGTGTAGTACTAATGTTAAATTGTTTGTATAGATGGTCCTGAACAACAGAGGAAAAATCAGCACAAAATATTCGAATGGAATTTAACGATTTGTGGAGTGGAACTTTGCAAAAGAGTATAAAATATTAATGAAACAGACTTGAAATCTAATATTTGCTGAAAAATAAGTTGATCTTCGATGGACAAAAACGCGCACAAACAAAAAAAAAATTTATATTTAACTGCAAATCACGTGCTATTATTATGCTATGTATAATACGCTTGTAAAAGCAATTTGCCGATCGATGTTATTTTAGCTACTTGGTGTGTATATTTTTTCGCATAAAAGTTAAAAGATATCATAAACTCTGTTTCACCACGATTGGCATGAAACTCGTTTTATTATTGTCATTACTATTATATTGTTATTGTTGTTTTTTTTTGTTCCTATACATTTTTTCCAAAGCTTCGTAATAACAGCGCATTGAGATAAAATAAAAAAAGCGTATAGTTTTATTTGTTTTGTGCCCAACGAAACGTATAAACTTGTTGAAATGCGTTCATCTAGTGTTGATTAAAAAATAATAATGTTGTAAGATATTCTAAACAAATATATATTTTTCTCGCAGAGAAACGTGTTATCGGTGATTCGATGGAATTGTAAAAACCATATTTACGTCTGTTATTAATTTTGTATAAGGTTTTCATTTAAAATAATTTATTTTTTTGTGAAATCTTGTGATAAGAATAAAATTACTATGAATGTTGATATGTCAAACAAGTATTAATACATTTGTCGATGTACATTGTGACATACATGTTATAATAAAGATAAATTTCAACGCACAAAAAAATAGTTTTACTGTGATAATATTATTGTCAGTTTAACAACTGTCTCAAATCAAATCATTAATTATTTGAGTTTGTTCTTTAAACATTAAATTGAAAATCATCCGTTTGAATGATATCAAACATTTTTAACAATAATAATAATCAAAAAATTATCTGCTAGAGATTGATCATTTTGATAAGATTCAAAATTTCATGTCAATCAAAGATAACGCTAATCATCGAATCTCACCATTGTTATTGTATTCATAAATTTTTTGGTATGCTTAACAATTTGTATACTTAAAAGCTTACTCTACAATTAATCCTTTTTTCACACGTGTACAAAAGTATTTTATACTTTTGTATTTTTGCCTATCACCACCAGCACTACCACAACAATAGTCATCATCATCCGCGACTTTTATATACTTTTTTTTTTTTTTCGTTATGATGGAAGAGTCGCCGATTGATGCAAGAAATGAAGTTTTGCACTGAAATGAAAATCTCGAATAAACTACGGGTCATTCGGCCACTCTTCTTCGGGCAGATATACAATAAATCGAAATATAAATGTATAAAAGAAAAAAAGAATGAAAAGTATGCATGTATACATATACGTACACGTTAAAAATAAAACCTGTGCGGCGCCCCTTGTTGTCCTGCTCGCTCGGGTGTAGAAAAAATGTACGCCTCGTCGTACTTTTACGCGCCGAGTCATCCGACGGTGGAGGACCAGGTGGAGCTGGCGCGCCGAATCTCGAATTCCCTGNAAAAAAAAATGGAAAAGTAAAAAAATCTTTCTGACACGTTAAAATGAGTTAAAAAGTATTTTTTTTTTTTTTTTATAATTTGAAAGGCTAAAACGATCACACAAAGTGCATCCGTCGTAGGGTATAATTGATTCTCTTAGATAAATGAGCAATGAGCGCGTGGAGACGAGCCCATCATTCATATTGCATTCCATGTATACACACATCCCAATCGCCGCTCGGCTCGTACGTACAGACACGTATACAGTGCAAAGCCCGATGATAAGTACACACGGGCTCTCGCTCGACCGGTCAGTGGTCGGACGATCTTTGCCGGTTCAAGAACTGACGTATAACTACTCCCTGGACGAATCGAGAAAATTTTCAAGTTTGAAAATGAGACTGTTTGGGATAGCTCTCCTGCTAGTCCTTGGCGTTTGCAACTCCCTTGGGGCTAGTGTGCGTGCTCGCGAGGACAATGGACCCACCTGCGGCTACGAGGTATATTATACAATAATACGAGTATGAATGAATGAATGAAACGAGTATCAATGATTAAGAGGAAAACCAAGATAAGCATTCAATGGCAAAAACGGCAGATTAATAAAGTGGCAAAATCTAATTGCCAGTCAAGCGGTGTGATTATACGAGCGCTTACTTGTGAGCGTGTTGGTGCATAATATATGGATGACCACGAGATTGGAATGACTGAGAATATATATATTTGGCGCTGTAAAGCAAGGAATTTAAGTTTCATGCTTCTCTCTTCACGATATTTTATCCAAGACAAAGACAATGACTTTTTTTTTCTTTTTTTTGTTTTTTTTTCAATTAACGTTAATACGATTTCCAGTTTAAATGTAGAAAAACATCATTACTATGTTTATTTTCGTAGATAACATTATCGTTTTAACGTAATGATGTTATCAAAACATTAAATACAGATTTGATTTTTGTTTTGTTTCTATTATAACACATTGACGGAATTTATAATATAATTTCGTTATCACCGCTTTATGAATAGACAAGTTTCCTTTCGTAACGTTGTTTTTGTTTTGGTAGAAAAAAAAAAAAGTTACTTACCAAACACAAGCAGATAACGTCTAAATTGATATTTTTTGTCTATTCAATGGCGTGCATTATAATCTGACTGTATTGACTGAGTGTTTTGATTACACATATCGTATTTTTTTTAATGAGGAATTTAAATACGTGACTCACTGGAGATAATACTTGCTTGAAATTTAAGATGAACGATTTTAAATATTATGATTTTTCCACGCACGCAAGTAACTCTCTTCGCTTGCACCAAATATATTTGTAAAATAATACGAGGTGGAAATAATTCAAATTCCTCTAAAGTGATGAAAGTTAAGAGTCTGTAGTAAAAGTTTTAAATATTGACAATCCTTGATTTACCCTCATATTTAAGTAATTTTTTGAATGAATTCAAGTTAATGAATATAGGATTTACATTGTCCAGAGGTACCAAACTACAAGCATAGACCATAGAAAAGGCTCATGTTTTCTTTTTAAAAAAATATGGTAAATAGATCTTTTTTACCTCAGTTTTTCACCACTTGAGGAAAAATTCGAGTATTATTATTATTATTATTATTATTATTATTATTATCATTATTGATGATTCGTGGCGTACATCAAGTATTTGTTTGGCTATCCGACAATCAATGATTAAAAGCACACAAGCATAAAATGGTCAAACAAAAAAAAATGAGATCAATCTTTCGAGGTTGAATAATTTTGCACGCATTCAAGTAAAATTAATTCGACAAAATTGTTGAATGTCAAAGTCATGTCCGAAAAGCGACCCGAGCAAAGTCAACATCCACTTGGTGGCGCACACGCACGACGACGTCGGCTGGCTCAAGACGGTAGACCAGTATTATTACGGCGGTGAGTTGATTTTTCATTTTTTTTTTTTTTTTCATTTGTCTTTACATTGCACGTCGTCTACACTCTCTACACCATCACGCGAGAATAAATTGCCACGCGGTGCCCGTCGACGATGCTCTCCCTCGCGCGCGATTTATGACATTTTTCAACCGCAGTATATATAGTACGATTTCTGGTTTGCCGAAGGTCGCATGAACATTCAAGTGGCCGGCGTTCAGTACATCATAGACAGCGTCGTCGACGCGCTCGAAAAGGATCCGGCCAGAAAGTGAGTATATATATACAAACGATGCTTGTACCATCCATACCGGTTTTCTATGCCGATTTTAAGTACGGATGTATCGTGAAAAACGACATAGGTTCATCTACGTCGAAACTGCGTTTTTGTGGAAGTGGTGGATCCAGCAGAGCGAGAAGAGGAGGGACCAGATGCGGAGGTACATCGACGAGGGCAGGCTGGAGATCATCGGGGGCGGTTGGAGCATGAACGACGAGGCCGTCACCCATTACCACTCGATGATTGACCAGTACACCTGGGGCTTCAGGTTTCTGCATTTATCCATTACACCCCTTTACATTCTTTCACATCTTTTTTTTTTTTTCGTCGATCGGCTGACTTGACCCTTTTGCCCGCAGGCGACTGAACGACACGTTCGGGAGCTGCGCTCGGCCGAAAATCGGCTGGCAGATCGATCCGTTCGGGCACTCGCGCGAGCAAGCTTCGATGTTCGCGCAATTGGGTTTCGACGGTATGTTTTTCGGGAGACTCGATTACCAAGACAAGGAGCAGCGTTTGCGAAACAAGAGCGCCGAGTTTATTTGGAAGGGAAGCGCCAGCTTGGGTATGTTTTTTTTTTTTTTTTTTTTTTTTTTTTTTTTTTTTTTTTTTTCCAACTATATCTCGATGAAATTGTCGGGGTGAACAACGAATTTCCAGGAAAATCCTCGGAACTGTTTTCTTCCATGCTGTACAACAACTACGGGCCGCCTCCCGGTTTTTGCTTTGACATTTTGTGCCAGGACGCGGAGCCTATGATCGACGACGTCGACAGCGCCGACTACAACATTGGCAAGAGGGTGAGTGGAAGAAATCCATGTTTCTTTCATTGGAAATACACGTGAATTTGAATCTCGAGGGGAAAAATGTTTTGGTCGGTGATGGGGAAAAAAAAAAAAAAAAAAAAAAAAAAAAACAATAATATCTTGGGAATGGTACATGTAAAACAGCACTCTCATCTCTGAGTCTATTGTGCGCACATGAGGTTACATCACATGGGCCAAGACGCCAGGATTTTCCGTCTCCTCGGATACCTATTTTATGTATCTCTTCCCCCCCAAACTTGCGTATGGCGTGTAGGCACATACGTGGGACGAATGCCAATATAGGGACGAACGATGCGGTCGTGGATAAAGAGGACGAAAACTATTCACCAGGAAATCGGTGGGCCAAGGGAGCGTAAAATTCCGGTCCCCCGAGCTGGATTTCGAGCTTTATTCGCGGGGCAGAATTTCAATTCGCCGATGTTTCATTGTATACGTATCCTTCCTCATCCTCCGCACGATTTGGAAAACAAGGTGACTGTGCGCCTATAGGTAGGTATTATCGGTGGTGAAAATAAACTAAAACAGGATAGGCCAGAGGAACTTTAGGTTGAACCTGCCTCCCCTTACTATCGTTATCCACTCCCTAGCACAACCACCAGTCTCGCGAGATGCATACATTTTTCGGAGATTTATAGTAGATGTAGTACCTGTTTTGTACGTGTAAAAAATGTACGAGTTTAGGGCCGATGTTTTTCTCATATTGTCCGGTATTTTTGTAGGGAGAACTTTAGAGAAGCTATTGGCTTGCTCCAACATATAATGCGCCCTGACTCAACGATTTTTGGGTCCTTTTGTTTTACCGATCTATTGATCGTTAGCTTTGACACAGGAGACCCGCGTTAATAATAACGAAAGAAACAAGTTTGAAAATTCTCTCAAAAAATAATTTAAACAACTTTAACAGCATATGCATTACACTTTGTTACCGATTTTACCTTCAATGGACGGGCAATCGAACAAATAGCGATACTCGCGTCATAGTTCCTTGAGAAATATCGATGTGCCGTCCAACGAGTAGTGTATGCACGTAGGTGCAAGTGTACCGGTCTCTATATCAATTTAGGATTGTTAACACTCGAGTGAAATATCGCCGGTGCCCGAGTCACGCAATCCGATCGTTGGGACTTGTTACACGTGTGCCTACGACCCATGTGAAATCTTAATTAAAATTTTTTTCAATTTAAAGCTCAAGCGCGAAAATGTACTGTAGTCACATAAGTTGAGGTAATATATATATATACACATTTTTTGCAAAAAGATAATAAACAATTGCTATCTAATCTCTCGGCGATAGATAAACAAGTATCCGCGACTGACCGATTGTTTTACAATCAATGTGAGTGTACAGCTCGCTCGGTGGGATAAAATTTAACATTACCGTGTAAAAATCTTGAATACTCGTGGTTACCAAAGAAAAAAAAAAAAATAACAAACTAGACGTACACAACGTCAAGCGAACGAGCCGCGGTCGGTCGTACAAGTGGCAAAGTTAAAATGAAAATAAAACCGGCTGGTTTTCTTGAATGAAACCAGCATAGCGGCGGCAAAAGCGTAAAAGCTCGCTGTGGAAACCTTCGTGAAGTACACTATTTATAACCCCCTCCGGCCAAGAGTCGCTTATTTCCCGAGACGCGCGGCGACGACCACACCGAGAACGCTTTTCGGATAGCAATTACGTACAGTTTTCTAATGGGGTTTACACTTGTACCTCGTTACGATTATATTATATCATATGTGTCTTAAAAATACTCGACAGCGCACCACCTTCTGTAATTGTGTACAAATTTAATGGTACATGTGTATATTTATTAAGGTGGATTACAATGCACGAGTGCACACTTTTAGCTGGGCAAAAAATTACAAATGCCAAAATTGGAAGTATTTTTACTCATGCGGTGTAAATTATACCGATTTAGGGAGGAAAAACGGCATTTGTCACTTGTGCGATCACATATCCCAAAAAACGTTCACTTAAACGCCCTAAATACACGATGGGGCGTTCACTTCGGAAACTACAATTATTTATACCACCGCGGAGCAACAATCGGAGATTAAGTACCCGTGCGAAAAATTTCCAAGAATTTCCAAGAGCTGCTGTTGCGGTTCGTCAATGAAATGAGAGAAAGCGCGAGATAGGGGGGGGGAAGCCCAGAGTCACAATGACACAATTTTCCGCTGGCTAGCGGCTATTTTTGATGGAAAAGAAAAAACAGGCGCCGGAGAACAGGTCGCTACACTCGCACACGGTATTACATACATGTATCTATCTCCTTCTACCGATATGTGACGCAGCGATACGACGTGTAGCTGCAAAATTCACTTTTTTGTTGTCGTTCCTCGATCGATAGTTCGGTAGGTTCCTTTACGCTCGGCCATGTAAAAGGAAAAATAGACGAAAAAAAAAAAATCGGTTTGACGCACGCGAGTCGCTCTCGTCAGCATCGGCACATATATTTACTTATACCGACGCACACATCAGAAGTAAAGTACAATACACACAAGCCCGCGTCAGCTTACGTATATATTATATATTTATAGATGAGAGAGATGATTGACAATAATGCATATGTACAACAACAACAACAACAACAACAACAACAACGTAAGTATATATATATACGTGTGCCCGTTAAAAATGTCTAAAGTGTATACCTGTAGCCTGCGAATCGGCGGGTAATCCTCGTAATCGGTATCCACAGCCATGGGCTGCTCGAGTGTCGTCGGCGCGGGGGGCGCAATCGGGGTCGGGTTGAACGACGATGGGGATGATTTAAAAAAGACGGTGGCGACGGAATCGGCGATCACCTCGCGGTTTTTCTCGGCGTTGTCGTGGGTCGTGAGCGCGCGGTAGACACGGGCCGCATCTTTTGCAACCGACAAAACTACAAGCTGGTCGTCCGCGGCTCAATCTTTATCTCCCCCCCCCCTCCACCCGTCCCGCCACGTCTTTCTCGCGCTCCTTCTAATTATATATGTATATACTTATATACCTGATATTTTATTTATAGCGGGATGCACGGCACCGACCTCGTGGCGAGAGCACCCACCAGCTGAGCCGTCTCTCTTTCTCTCTCTCTCTCTGTGTTGTGCGTGTGTTTTTTTCTTTTTTCCCTTCCCTCTGCAAATTGCAACGTGAATTGGATTATTACTTTCATGCAGATTCTCGGTTTATGGGTTTGGTATAGGTATATACAGGTGGTGCGTCGTGTCTCGGTGATTTTTTTTGTGACAAGAAGTTCGGCAATTTTGACAGTCGGGTACATTTGGGTAACGGATGGGTTGTTGCTTCCAACGTATCAACGATTGATGCAGTGTTTTTCATAATGAGGGTTATTCTATCATCAGGTGGCGATAGTGTGCCCATGTAAGGTTTCCACAGAACATTATCTATATGTTGAATGCCTATATAGTTATACTTCTGTGGAAGTTAATTTTACTTTTAAACTATTTGCATTTCGTAACACGTTGAAAATATTAAAATCTTTTTGCAACAAATAAATGTTAAAAATATAAAGTGCAGTTAGTATACGTATTTATGAAAGTTTTCAGAAATATGATTCAAATAATATTTAAAACACAACCGCTCCTAGATAAATGAATCGTATAACATATGAACGTTTACTCGTCAAACAGTAATTTAAAAAATACAACTACTAATATTGACTACGTAACGTCGCCTATTGTAAGATATTTTTATTTTAATTAGGCAGTATTTTACAGTGTAGCGTTGTAAGATCGTGTCGTACACCGTCGGGAGTTTTAATGTTGAAAACATGTACAACAATCAGTTGTGCAACACGACCATCGCAACTCGAAATACATGACAGTTTTTCCGACGCTAGTACACGTGCAATGATTTCGATGTTATATTTTTATATTTATATCTTATAAGGCCCTTTTTTTGTTTTTAAAATGAATTTTTTTAGGCCATCGTCAAGTACCATTTTAGCATCGCTAAGTCTCGCTATTTTTTTTTCTCTAACGCTGTGTTTGTACCTGATGCTATCTGGACATGATAATCAAACACCGATATGTGGATACAATGTAAGTTTAAACGTTTACTTTTATTGCTCATCAAAATCAATAGATTTGAAAAAAAAATTATTTTTTCGAAGACGTGCCCGACAATTGAGCCGAAAAAGCTCAACATCCATTTAATAGCCAACACACACAACGAATTCGGATGGATGAAAACATTCGACCAGTACTACCTCGACGGTATGCTTGTCATGATATTTATGTTAAAGATTTAAAAAGTTCAGTTAAAGATAACATGTGATTGTTAGTGGCCGTTCATGTGATTCCTAGCGTGATTGAATCACTCCAAAGAGACTCGAATCGAAGGTCAGTCCTTTGTAAAAGTTGATAATAATACAAATTGATAAAATAAACATGTAACTATTGCTAAGGTTTGTAATGTCCGAGACGTGCTACTTGTGGAAATGGTGGAGACACCAGGGCGAGAAAAAAAAGCAAGTTGTGCGAAAATTGATAAACGAAGGCAGATTAGAAATCGTCGGAGGCGGGTGGAGTATGAGTGACGAGGCTACGACGAATTATCAAGCTGTCATTGATCAGTACACCTGGAGTTACAAGTTTGTTGTTTTACCATTTAAGGTGATGGCTCCTTACCACTGCGTAGCACACAATTTGCATAAATTTATAAAATTGCCGTATTTAATACAATAATAAAGAGATACTTGGTGAGGGAGAAAAAAAAATGTAATGAAAAAAATTTACTATATCGCATTTGAGTTGTAATCCCTAATTTTAGTATTACACTTACAAAATACAGGTATGTTTTTGCTTTGTTATTTAATTTTTTAAAGCTTGTTTTACTCTTTGAACGATTTTACGTATAGGTTTTACATGGAAAATTTTCCAAAATATTCTATGTGTTTTAAGTTGGATGCGATAGTTTACAAGAAAATACTGGCTTGTCGCGATTTCAAGAATCCTTACAGCAAACAGTTGCATGTGTGTCATTACGCAATAAATATTTTTGAAAAGATTATATGGTGACATTATATTAAGTCGTCCAATGAAAACAGCAAGATTTCAAAAATTAAAATTGAATAAAAAATCATAAAGGTTCCTATCACTTTTAAGTGCAATTGTAAAATTTAGAATCACACCCAATTGAAAGTAGTAAATTTTATAAAAGAATTTTTTTCCATCTTATACGGTACCCCTTTCTCGTACTACTCTATTTATTATTGTATTACAACATACAGCTACATTAATAATTAAAAATTTTGTACCGTATAGTGGTAGGGCTCCACGTAAATGTTGCGCGCAACGATTTGACGGAAAATTTCATGAAGTAATTTATTCAGGCGGTTGAATGATGAATTCGGCAGTTGCGCGCGGCCAAGGGTTGGCTGGCAAATAGACATTTTCGGACACTCCCGCGAGCACGTTTCTATGCTAGCTCAAATGGGTCTCGATGGATTGTTCATTGGCACGGTTGATGATCAGTACAAGTGGAAACGTTTGAAGAACAAAATCGGCGAATTCATTTGGGAAGGCAGCTCGAGCTTAGGTCCTCATTTCACCTACTTTTTCTCGCCGCATGAAAAATAAATTAAACACGTTAATGTTATTTAGGTGAACGTGCTAACCTCTTCACGTCCATGCTTTTTCACTATTGGCAAGTTCCGGGTTTTTGCTTCGACGATAAATGCAGCGATCGGGTACCGATCATCGATGACCCCAATGACGTTAATTACAATGTCAATTACAGGGTACGTAATTGAAAATGCTCTCTTTTGAACAAGCAATAACTTTTTTGCGCAACAGGCTAGGCTTCTGATGAATTATGCGAGGTTAGAAGCATCGCATTACAGGACAAATAATATTCTTGTTACGATGGGTAACGACGGCCATTACAAGAAAGCGGAACTATGGTTTTATAACTTGGACAAACTTATCAAGTGAGGCTCGCTAGCTCGATTGCCACTGTGGTAATTGCTGTGTTAATTAACGTTTGCATTTTCACAATTTTCAGATACATACATGCCAAATACAACGATGTGAATATCTTTTACTCCACGCCCTCGTGTTATTTGAAGTCGTTGAACGATTTGAACGCCACCTGGCCAATCTACACCAATGATTTCTTTCCGTACGCTTATGATCAGCACACGTTCGGTACTGGTTTTTACACGTCAAGGCCATCATTGAAATTTTTTATTAAACTTGGGAACAGCTTTTTACAGGTACTTAAAGGTTTATATTAGTTTATGTTTTTGAATGTATTTTTACAATTATTTGTATAACTCCCTGGTAAAATATGATAAGTATGTTATATTAGCACTTTTTTAAAAACAAAAAAAACCTTTATCTACAGTGAGCTGAAATGATGTATTTAGGAGTTATTAGAATTCCGAGTTACTTATCATATCAAAAGAAAAAATGAACATTTATACATGAAATATAATCCTTATTTCAACTTAGAAGCACCTTAAAATAAGAAAAAAGTCAAGGGTGTATAGGGCGACTTAAAATTTATAATTTCATTTAATCTTAAATCTTCCGAGTAAACCACTTAATTAATTAATTGTTTATTTCAGGTTGTTAAACAATTGTTAGTACTGGCCCACGAATCAGATAGTACAGAACTGCAAATGTACAGAGAAGCTGTGGGTGTATTGCAGAACCACAATGTCATAACCGGAATCGAGAAATTTGATGTTGCCTCAGATTTTTCAAAAATTCTACATAACAATCTAATTAAAGGAGAAAATCTCGCTTCCGTGGCAATAAAGTAACCATATTAATTTATAAACAATCACATAAGCAATTATCATTGCATCTGAACTCGTCTTTACTCTTGTATTAGTAAATGGGCGTCGAGCAATGAGATTACACCTGATGCGAGTGCATTTCTTTCCTGTTTTTTGCTGAACATCAGTTCCTGCGACCATTCCACCGAAAACAAAAAATTCATTATTACTGTATTCAACCCCACTAGCCAGCTTCTGACCACTTTTGTACGTGTACCTGTTCAAAGATATGTTTATGGTGTTAAAGATTTTACAGGTGCCTATACATGTTTGATCATTTAAAAAAATAACATCGACGCATAATGTTTTTATTGGAAAATCTATTTAAATATTATTAATGTAGGTAATGAAGTCGTAACTCAAATGGTACCAATACCAGAACCAATTCTTAAAGTTCCTGGCCGCTACAGCACAGCTTCTATGGAGCTGATTTTCCGTGCAATTAACATATCAGCTTTGGGTTACCAGTCTTTTTACGTGTACCGAAAGAACGATGAATTCATCGATTTCTTAAAAAATCGTCACACAAAAAGCATTGAACAAGCGATAAGTGGAGAAGTATATTTTTTCCTTTAAAGATACATACTACAAATGATATCTCTTCAGAAATCGTTTTCATGGCTATTTGTGTTTTAGTCGTACAACATAAGTATTTACGCAAACGGCCAAACATCGATTCATTTGGTAAGAGAAAAGAAAGCTTTGATGATCAACCAATCTTTCTATTATTACGAGGGTGCAGAAGGTAACAACATAGAGGTGGCCAATCGGTCTGCTGGTGTCTTTGTATTTAGACCCAAGCTAAATTATTCGAAAACTATAAATACAACAGAATGGGTGCAAGTCTACAAAGGTATGTTTAACCCTTTATTTATGCACGTATGTGGTGATAAACATCATTGATGTTAATTTTACGGGGATGTCTACATGTGGGGGTTTTATATTTTTGTTGGAGCAGAAAGTGTAACATTCTTAAGTTATTGGAAGTGAATGATAATTTTTACCATCAAATGAACTCGTTTAAGTAATTTACCAGGAGACGTAAAATCGTATGAGGGTATAGGCTCCGTGCACAAAGACACCAGCGCCAACTTGTGGCTGGATGTTGAGTCCACGTGGTTACGAGAATACACGGAGAAGCATGGTTGTCTAAAGTCAATAATTTTTTTCAACAATACCAAGATCCTTTCTAGTAGCCCGATTATCGCAATTAGAATCCCTAACTCCTTAACTTTACAATGATATTTTTTTCAGCATGAGATTTTGCTTTAATAAGTTGTAAAAAGAGACATATTTTTCTTTGTTACTCGTACATGTGAGCTACATTGCATGGGTCAGTACAGCGTGTGAGAGAGATAGAGAACTAAGAGAACTCTTACTGGTACTAACGCACGCAATGTAGCTCACATGTACGAGCAACAAAGGAACATATTATGTCTCTTTAACAACTTACTAAAGCAAAATCTCATGCTGAAAAAAATATCATCGTAAAGTTAAGGAGTTAGGGATTCTAATTGAGATGATCAGGCTATTAGAAAGGATCTTGATATTATTGAAAAAAATTATTGACTTTAGGCAACCATGCTTCTCCGTGTATTCTCGTAACCGCTCGGACTCACCATCCAGCTCAAGTTGGCGTGGGGGGTTTTTGTGTGTAGGGATTTAGAGACTCCTTAATATGTATGTGTGCTTTATTAGTGATTACAAGTTGACTCAGTTTAGAGCTCAACAAGGACTGAAGACTGAAGTCGTCAGTAAGCGGTTACACCGCTCGACTATTATGAGGAATGGGGATAGCCCCTACATGTGCTCGGAGCCTATAGATTTGTTCAAGCCCCTTTTGGTTCGGTTCGGTTCTCTTGACAAAATGTACCTATATATAGGGAACCAAACAGAACTGGTTCTGCATATATAGGTATATTTTTTTAAGAGAACCGAACTGAACCAAAAGGGGCTTGAACGAACCTTATATCACAAAGCATAGTGCGACCGAGCCTTAGTAAAAATGGTGTCGTTCACGTGTAAAGGCCTACGCAGTAAAATTGACATAAGGTGCACAGTGCACAGTGCACAAGAATAACATTGGTTGGTATATCTATGTATGTAAAAACGTAAAGCACAACGCGCTGTGAATTATGTATATAGGTATACCAACCAATGTTATTCTTGTGCACTGTGCACTGTGCACCTTATGTCAATTTGACGGCGTAGGCCTTAACAGTATACTTTTTTTTTTTTTTTTTATATTATAGTGCTTTACGTCCGGCTCCTATAAAGGGCACTACACAGGACACTTAGCACTTTGGAGAAGGAAGGGAAGAGGGATGGGAGGCCTCCCATTACTGGGAGGGGGATAGGGGGAATTAGGCAATTTTGCTGCGAGAAGGTCGCCTAAACCCTCCTCGAGGAGCATTGCGTGGTGAAAAAGCACATGTGAAAAATCACAGAGGTACTTGCCCGCAAATGTCGCACTGGCCGGGAATCGAACCACGGTCTTCCGCGTGCCAATCCACGACCTAGCCGACTGAGCCACCGCGCGCTCACTAACAGTATACTTATACACACAACTTCAACTTGTGTGCCTCTACATATTCTATAAATAGGTGACTCGTATGTACAAGTATGCCGTTACACATGAGTGAACGACGCCATTTTCTCTAAGGCAAGGTCGCGCCATCTAACGAATGAGCTGTATAGGATGTACCCTCATACGCACCATGTTTAAAGGTTAAGAAATGCCCTAAATTTCACATTAACCGTTTGTTCGTATGAAATTTGCGACATTCTTAACCTCGCTCACAAGGTGCGTAATATTCTATAACATTTCATTCATCTCCAATTTCAATATTACTTTTTCAATGATCCATTTTTTCATATTAACAATTGTCCATATGTCACATAATGCAATTTCCTGTCAGTAAAACTATTCATAATTATTAAAGTCTTTGATTGTTTAACGATTTATAACGACCATTTTGAGCTTAACCCGTGTAAGTGCTTTGATTTGAACCTTTATAAACTGTAATACATTTGAATTCGTGTTTTAGGGCCTTTGGTTGAAGAAATTCATCACGTCATCAACAACTGGGTCAGCCAGATAATCAGAATTTACAGTGGTTCCGATCACATAGAGTTCGATTGGCTCGTAGGACCCGTTCCCGTGGAGTAATTGCAAAAATCACATTATTGTCCCGGAATTCCAATCGATTNAGGACGACGTAATTTTCTATACATAAAAGTCCTATGTATTGTCTATAAAAGATTATAAGACTGTTTTTTTTTTCCACGTAGAGTGCAACATAAGTACTTTTAAAAAGTACGATTTTTTTTTGATACGGGTTTTCATGTATACATCAAAAAATCTAAAATCAAAGAAGATAATTTTTTTCAACATAAGTATGGAAATGAAAAAATTTTTATTTCAATGAAAAACCAGAATTGATGAGAATAAAAATGAATTTCAGGTAAATCTGCCAATCTATTTACGATGATTTTGTACTACCGTTTTTTCACCCCACCTGGTTTTTGTTTTGATACTTTCTGCGGCAATCGCGTGCCCATCATCGATGACCCAAACAACATAAATTACAACGTACAGGACAGAGTAAGCGAAAATTTTTCATGCCATCACTTTGGAACAATATATTATTGTACAAGATATTTATTTGACTAAAGGCAGAGAAACTACTACATTTTGCTTCGAAACAAGCTATGATGTACCAGACCAATAATATAATCATTACAATGGGAGGGACACATCATTACTCAAACGCTGAGCTGTGGTTCGCCAACATAGACAAACTCATCAAGTTGGTTTCAAATTTTTTTTCCAAAACAACATGCCGAAGTATACCGTTAAAACAAATTTGCGTGATTACTTAGGTACATAAACAGTAAGGAAGGAGACAACTATGAGGTGTTTTACTCAACTCCGTCGTGCTACTTGCGGGCACTGCACAAGCACGATTTAAGATGGCCCGTTAAAATCGGCGATATGTTCCCGTACTCTTTCGACCAACATTCATTTTGGACTGGTTTTTATACGTCCAGACCGGCACTGAAGTACTTCGAAAGACTCGGCAATAACTTTTTGCAAGTCGGGGCTTTAATGAATTTCGCATTTCAACTTGCAAAAAAAAAAAAAAACTTGGCTTATCTTTTTTTTTGTCATTCCAGGTGACGAAGCAATTATCTGTCTTGGCGAATCTGCCCGATACCGAAGAGCTGCAACGTTTCCGAGAGGCAATGGGGGTGATGCAGCATCATGACGCAATTACGGGCACTGCAATGCAAAATGTTGCGTTTGACTATGCCAAACTGTTACATCGCAGTATTTCCAAAGGAGAGCACGTTGCTTCTAAAGCTCTAAGGTAATAACAATCATGCACTTTGAAAATATCAATTATTTGAAAAATATGTATGTTTTTTGTTCTCAGCAATTGGGCATTGAAAGAAAAAATTTCAAATGCGCCGGAATTCCACTCGTGTCTGCTTCTCAACATTAGCGCCTGTGATTATTCCTCCAATCACCGAAAATTCGTTGTCACTGTGTACAATCCGACCAGTCAAATGGTCCAGCAGTTTATCAGAGTGCCGGTTCAGAATTTGGAGTACGGGGTCAAAGACTTTACTGGTGCGTCAATAATAAAGGTGGCTTGAACGTTTGGTGCCGTACCCAGTGAGGGGCCCTTTGAGGTTTTGTTGATTACGAAAAATGTTCTTTGTCCATTGTCATGATTATTGAATGCATGAATCACACGTTCAATTTCAAGAGTTTTAATGGCCTAAAAAGTTATAAAATATCAATAAAATAAATAGTAAAAACTCACCATTTTAATCATCGCATGCGCAGAAGACGATAAATCACTTTTCTCTGAATTTTCTTAAAATCTATGTGGTTTACGTTTAATTTTCACAGTTGTAAGAGATCACTAATAAAAAAAAGGTACAAATACAGTTTTTATTTACAGAGGTTTGTCATTTACTTTTGGAGTTAGCGTCATTTTAGTGATAAATTCTGTAAGACTGTCTGTTCAATTGGTGAGTTTTCAATAGTGATTTTCTGAAAAGTAAAGTGGTTGACCCAAGTGTTATTTATCGTAAATGAATGAGGCATACCTTATTTACATAGTTAGAAAATTTCAGCTATTATGATTAATCCAGTGGAAATAGTCCAAGCCACCTTTGAAACACATAAATGTACCCAATTATTAATCGATTGATGGGATTTTTTTTTAATTGTAGGGAACGATATGGTTACTCAAATGGTGCCAATTCCAGACGAGGTGCAAGCGATCCCTGGTCGAGTCAGCAGTGCAACAATGGAGTTGGTTTTTCTAGCTGAAAATATTTTCCCGCTTGGTTTCCAATCGTTTTACGTTTACCAAAAAAAGTCCGATCCCAATTTCTTGCCAAACGACCCGAAACCGGCTAATGGCTCCCAATTTATAGGCTCCGAGGTAAAGAGTTGACCATTACTTTTTCCAATGTCATTTTGCAATGCCATAAACAATATACATTGTATTTTAAGGTATTTAACATAAGTGCCAACGCAAAAGGTAGAATCTTGATAAATATGACTCACGGGGCAAGGGGCCTGAAAATCAGACAATCGTTTCATTATTACGATGCCGCGGAGGGCAACAACGCATTGGTCGCCAACAGATCGTCGGGGCTGTATGTTTTTAGACCAAAGAGCAGCATCACCCATATTTTGAATGTTACCAACTCCACGCAGATCTTCAAAGGTATGTCATATGGGACACTGCTAATATGCCATTTAGTCTCGATTGTACCATTTTCAAAAATTGAATGCCGGCAGGACCTTTGGTCGAGGAAATTCATCAAGTAGTCAATGAATGGGTTAGCCAAGTAGTTAGAATTTACAAGGGAAAAAGTCAAGTGGAATTTCATTGGCTGATCGGACCTGTGCCCATCGAGTAATTTCATATATTAATTGTTACTTGTAAAAAAAAAACAAAAAAACAATTCATCCTCTATACGTATTATAAAATTATTTTGTACAGCTTGTCAAAGATGATAGGCGGCAAGGAAGTGGTCAGCAATTACTTTACCAACTTGGTGAACAGAAGGACATTTTACACGGACAGCAATGGTAGGGAGATGATTCAGCGTAAGCTCAACAAGCGCCCTCACATAAACGTTTGGCTGGAGGAACGAGTTTCTGGTAACTATTACCCGGTCCCAACGAAAATCGCCATCGAGGACAAGAGAAAGATGTTCCGTGTGAGTGTGTTGACCGACAGGCCACAGGGTGGCTCGAGCTTGTTACGAGGACAAATTCAGTTGATGGTAACGAAAAAGTCACCCCAAATGGTAAAACTGACGCGTTAAATTTCGCCAAAATGTGTTCCAGCTTCACAGAAGGTTAACCAATCACGACAAGATGAACCGCCTCAATCAAATATTGAACGAAATGGCGTACGGAACGGGCCTTGTGGTCAGAGGTAAACATTACTTGCTGGCCGGCAGTTTGATGGACAAGGACGAGCTCATTTTGCAAGAAAAAGAGAAAGCGATTGAACTGTCCCTTGGATCTTGGCTCTTTTTCACCCCCACGACAAGTTCTTTTCAAGACTGGAATCAACTTTACAAAATGAAGGTTGTACATTTTGTCACTCCCTGCTGTATGTACTTCGGCATGTATTTTTGAAGAATTTAAATTTTAAAATAATAACTCGGGTGGTAGTGCTATCAAGTACATATTAATACAAATAACTTTCGACGTTTGTCACAATGTATTCGCTACCTTACCATCTTGCGTGCTACACTTAGTCACTAGTGTGACGATTAAGTTTTTTACCTGATGAGGGCCTCGTTATCCATATAACTGTACCGGCCGAAACGTCGAAAGTTATTTATATTTAATAAAAAACTTGATAGCATTGCCACTCGAGTTACCATTTTCAAATTTATCGTATCAGGTATCACTCGAGTTTTAAAATAACTAAATGAATTTAAATTTTCCTCGATCCGTCAGGGCGACGGTTTAACGATTTCGCTGCCTAGAAACGTTCGTATTCTGACTCTCGAGCCTTGGAAGGATGGGGAAGTTTTACTGCGACTTGAGCACATATTTGAGGAAGGCGAAACTTCCTTGTACTCGACAGTTGCCCAAGTCGATTTGAAAGTAATACCTATTATGTTTCTTATTGATCACAATTGGTTCCATGTATTTACATTCTTGAGTTGTGGATTGTTTTTGCCGATAATAGGAGCTTTTCGCTAGTTTTTCCGTGGATTGGGTGCGAGAAACGACTCTTGGTGCGAATCAGTTTTTGAAAGACGAGCAGCGATTGAAGTGGACGTCGGGGACGGACGATAACGTTGAAACTGGAAATTTGGACTCGGACAAAGTGCAGGCCTCCAGTAATTCTATTGTGGTACTACTGAAACCTATGGAAATTCGGACTTTCGTCGTCAAACTTAAACACGGGTCTAAATGAGATTGTGGCGTATTAAACTTTGTACGATAACACATTTATAAAGACCAAAAGTAATATATTAATGAAAAAAATGTTTTAAGTAAATTTTTTTGTCACGAATGTATATTATTTTATGTGCTCAATAAATGTAGTCCTTATAAATTATAAAAGTATTCTATTGCATTTCAAATAATTCTAAAAAAAAAATAAACCTTGATTGTAGTTGCGTCTATATACGTATTATAAAATTATTTTGTACAGCTTGTCAAAGATGATAGGCGGCAAGGAAGTGGTCAGCAATTACTTTACCAACTTGGTGAACTGAAGGACATTTTACGGCAAGTTGACCCTTTCGGCCATTCTCGCGAACAAGCTTCCATTTTCGCTCGAATGGGTTTTGACGGAATGTTCGTCGGTCGAATCGATTACGTGTACAAGTGGGCCCGCTTGTGGAANCCTTTGGTTGAAGAAATTCATCACGTCATCAACAACTGGGTCAGCCAGATAATCAGAATTTACAGTGGTTCCGATCACATAGAGTTCGATTGGCTCGTAGGACCCGTTCCCGTGGAGTAATTGCAAAAATCACATTATTGTCCCGGAATTCCAATCGATTGACAAATCGTCTCATTGAATTAATGATTGTAGGGATGGCATCGGGAAAGAAATAATCACTAGATTTTCCAGTAACTTGAAGAACAATGGGGATTTCTATACCGACGGTAATGGCCGTGAAATGTTGAAACGTACGTTAAACAGCCGTCCGAACTGGAAAGTGAGGCTCGTGGAGCCAATCGCTGGTAACTACTATCCCGTGACCTCTAAAATTTCCATCGAAGATAAAAAAGAGATGTTGCGTATGAGCGTCTTACCCGACAGACCTCAGGGTGGCTCGAGTCTCAGGGACGGAGAAATCGAACTGATGGTCGTACAAAATTTACTCAAAATATAACTCGACTAGATCATTGAAAAATAATTGAATTGTAACGTTTGGTCGAGTACAGATTCATAGGCGGTTGTTGTACACGGACATATGGAGCGGAGGTGAAGCACTGAATGAAATAGCTTACAATACAGGGCTTGTCGTCAAGGGCAAACATTGTCTCGTGACTGGTAGCTTGATGGACCGAGACGATTTGATAATGCAAGAAAAGGAGCTTGCCAATAAACTTGCTGTTAGTCCTTGGCTATTTTTTACTCCATTATATACATCCTTTCAGGATTGGAGTAAACAGTACAAAATGAAGGTTTGTTCATTATTTTCGTACGTAAAAATATTTGTTTTTTACAACTCTGTGGGTCTTTTAGAACGATGGGCTTGTCAAAGCTTTGCCAAGAAATGTCAGAATTCTTACACTCGAACCTTGGGCAGAAGGAAAAGTTTTACTTCGATTGGAGCACTTTTTCGAGACTGGCGAAACGCACGCGTACTCTGCAGCTGCAAAATTTGATCTCAAAGTAAGAACTGTCTTGAAGATAACGATCATTTTTTCTTTTCTTTCCTTTTCTTTTTCAGGAGATGTTTGCCGGTTTTACTGTGGACTCGTATGAGGAAATGACACTCGATGCAAATAAAAATCTGAAAGACGTGGAGCGGCTCAAATGGAAATCGGAACTCGACGAGGTTTCCCACGTTGATAGCTCTAAAACCGATCGTATAGAACTGTCCAATGGGTCACTGATCGTGAGACTTAATCCTATGCAGATTAGAACATTTATCTTAAAACTTTCACCTAAATTTCATTAATGTGTATCGTCGTTTTAAGGATGTATAATTACTATCAATGTTTAAAACTATGTATGTGCATCAAATTCACTCTCGTCTCTCTGAATTTGTCCCAATACGATGTGTATAAATAACCTAATAATTGTATCCTGTGCATCTCAATTATGATAATAAATTATTCTCCATTGAAATAAAGTATTTTTTTAGTTGCTTGTCATGAGTTTATTATGTTAAATTAAAGGTAAAGCTTATTTTTTTGAATATTCAGTTTACTACGTTGAATCTCGTAGTATAAAATAGATGGAAACAATTAGCTAAAATGTTGAAATTTCTCTACCGTAGTTTCCAAGATAATTTAAAAATATCAAGACAAAGAATTATCGTTAAACTGAAAATTGTAAATATGTAAATTAATTAACCATTGAGAACAGAGTTCAAAATATTGTGAAAAAAGGTCTAAAAACGTAATACTTCATAAAATAAAAAATCTCAAATTGTTACACTGCTTACATAATTTCTGTCAGTAATATTTGCTTACATGTTTACTGATGTAGTTCAACAAGTTAAGATAACAATATGTGAAAAAAATCCGCTAAAAAACACACGCAAAGGTTTCAGTTAATATTGAAGAAAAAAAGCACATTTTTATGTGAAATTTCCTCTCAGTTAACCAATTTTTCGTTTACCATTTAGTTACAAATTAAAATTAAAATGAGATTGCAAACACATCGAAGTTTATTTTCATTTATATTTGGTACTGCATTTGTCATCGTAGGATTTGGAATATGGCTACTCTTGTCATCAAAATATGAAAAACCTATACCTGTAATAGGGCCTAATGTAAGTATAATATATTGGATAATATAAATTAAATAATTTTGTGATCTAGATTAATACTACCATAAAAAAATTTTATTTACCACACGCAGACTTGCCCAAACAGTCAGCCACATAAACTAAACATACATTTGATATCTTATTCTGAGAGTAACATTGGTTGGCTTCATGTGCATAATCAAACATACTTTGCTTGTGAGAATAATTTTTTATTCTAAAGTTCAACTACTTAGTGCATACAAAAACTCCTTTAACTTTTTTTTAAATTCATTTACAGCTGTTATTGATAGTGTCATGTTATCATTGACGAAGCATCAAAATAGAAGGTAATGAATAAGAAAACTCCATGAAAAAATTAAAAGAAATTAAAACATATTTTTTTGCTAGGTTTGTCTACGCTGAAACATTTGTTTTATGGGAATGGTGGAAGCGTCAAAATCAAACTAAAAGGGAAATGTTACGAAAATTAATAAACGACGGCAGGTTTGAAATTGTGAGTGGAGGGTGGACCATTAATGACGAAGCTGTTTCCTATTACCAATCGATCATAGACCAATACACTTTAGGCTTCAGGTTTTTGAGTTTCCGTAATCATAGATACATTCTAAAGCCACATAACAAAAAGATAATGTAAAACTGTTAATCCCAGGAGATTAAAAGATATGATTGGTAATTATGATGGTCCAAGGGTTGCCTGGCAAGTAAATTCGTTTGGACATTCTCGGGAACAAGCATCACTATTTTCGCAAATGGGTTTTGATGGAATGTTCATTAGTCGAGTTGATTATCAGTACAAAAAGGCATGTCTCGACAATAAAACTGCCGAGTTTATGTGGAAAACAAGTAACAGTTTAGGTAGGATATTTTATTATTTTTATTAAATTGTGGTTCGATAACTTTTGGTGGTCATTCGTCGTTTAGGCAAGTCCAACAATTTATTCACGTCAATAATATACAACCGCTTTACACCACCACCTGGATTTTGCTTTGACATTCGTTGTGACGAAAGAGTACCAATTATAGATGATCCTAAAAATTTGAATTATAACGTGGATGAGAGGGTAAACATCAGTTATATAAGTTTTTAAACATTTTTTTTCAAAAGTTTCATTGTATACTCTAAATTTTTATGATGGGTAAAGGTAGAGCAACTATTAACTTATGTCAAAAAACAAGCTTTATCGTATAGAACAGATAATATTGTACTCACGATGGGAGATAAATTACAGTACACAGAAGCTGAGTTGTGGTACAGTAATATGGATAAACTAATCAGGTTTATCTTTAATTAATACTATAACGTGGTACTAAAGCGTAACACTAATCTATCGTTTTGTTTGTTAGATATATCAATGAGAAAAAAAACGACCAGTTTAATATTTTTTATTCTACGCCTTCGTGTTACTTGAAATCTTTGAATGACTTGAACATTTCATGGCCTGTCAAAACTGACGATTTTTTGCCGTACTCCTGGAATCGCCATACTTTTTGGTCTGGTTTCTACACTTCTCGGCCTGGATTGAAATTTTTCGAGAGACTGGGAAATAATTTTTTACAGGTCAAAAGTCATGTATTATACTCTCCATTTTACCTTCAATTAATAAAAAAATAAAAAAATAGGTGGTCAAACAACTTTCGGTCCTCACACATTCATCTGACTCTGAAGAATATCAAACGTACAAAGAAGCAATGGGACTGATGCAAAATCACAACACCATAACCGGTACTGCAAAATCACACGTGACATCGGATTTTGTAAAAATATTACATCAAAGCATAACAAATGGAAAACGCATGGCTTCAGAATCCATGAAGTGCGAAAATTTTTTTTAATTACTTTTTTTTATAAATATGGTCAATTTCATGTTTATTTGTATACGATAGAAAATGGGCCTCGAGAGATAATACATCTCATGTACCAGAATTTCACTCATGCCTACTGTTAAACATAAGTTCCTGCAATTATTCTTCAGACAGTAAAACGTTTATAGTAACAGTGTACAATCCAACAGCCCAGCTACTTACAACGTTTGTTCGCATACCTGTCCAAAACTTTTTTCATAGTGTCAGTGATTTCGCAGGTAAATCAAAATAATTTTACTATTTTTAATATACTTGTACTACACCATGTATTTATGTATTTATGTACATAGGTAACGATATGGTGACGCAAATGGTACCAATTCCCAAACAAGTCAAAACAATACCAGGTCGAGTTAGCAGTGCAACAATGGAATTGGTTTTCCTAGCTGAAAATATTTCTCCCCTTGGTTTTCAGTCGTTTCACGTAAAGCGGAAAAATCCCATTGCTAAAGAACCTTCGAATGGACCACATCCATCCATAAATAGTCTAAATGTCCAAACGGAAGTACGATGAAATAACTGAAGAAGCTCTTTCTCCTAATCGTATCGAATTAACTGTGATTAATTTTCTATAGTTTTACCACCTCAGTGTGGATACTCAAGGAAGAGTGCATGTGTACTACACAAAAGGAGCTAGGGATCTGCACATCAAGCAGTATTACAATTACTACGAAGGGTTCGAAGGAAGTAACGCCGTTGCATATCAACAATCCTCAGGAACGCACATTTTCAGACCGAAACAAGAAAACAGTAGGGAAGTCGAGAAAAATATTACCTACCAAATTTACAAAGGTGATTTAGTTGAAGAAATTCATTTGGCGATCAACGATTGGATAAGCCAAGTGATTAGAATGTACGATAGCAAAGACATAATCGAATTCGACTGGTTGATTGGACCGATTCCTGTTAAGTATGGAAACAAGTCACAAACCGAGATCAAATACCATTCGGATGATATTTTACTTTTGCAGTGATAATGTTGGGAAAGAAATTGTTTCAATATTTGCCAGTAATATACAAAACAATGGCAAGTTTTATACAGATAGCAATGGTCGGGAAATGATAAAACGCAAGCTTTATAAACGGCCTCACTACAAACTGTCGCTGGTCGAAAAAGTAGCTGGAAATTATTATCCTGTAACAACTAAAATATCCATCGAAGACAAAAGGCAAATGCTGCGCATGAGTGTAATGAATGACAGATCTCAAGGTGGATCGAGTCTAATGCCAGGAAAGATCGAACTAATGGTCGTAGTTTTAATTGTTTGTACTTGATTTTCTTTTTTTTTTTTTTTTACAAAGTGTATATGCTTTAGGTGCAAAGAAGATTACTGAGCGATGATGGTGTTGGCCTGGACGAGCCTCTAAATGAAACAGCGTTTGGCACTGGCGTCGTCATCAAAGGTAAACATACTTTGGTAGTTGGTAGTCTCGCAGAAAAAGATGAATTGGTACTACGAGAAAAAGTTGAGTTTACCTCTCAGCCATGGATATTTTTTACTCCTACGTCACGTACGTTTCATGAGTGGAGTAAGCTTTACAAAATGAAGGTTGTTACGCTTTTCCCTGTAAATTAAACGATTTAGTTTTTTTTTTCTTTGTTTTCAACGATTATTTTAGGCCAGTGGTTTGAATAAAACTTTACCGAAAAACGTTCGAATTCTAACTTTGGAGCCTTGGAGAGATGGAGAAATCTTATTTCGACTTGAACATATTTTCGAAGTTGGAGAAACCTCAAAATATTCTATTGCCGTCGAAATAGATCTTAAAGTAACGTATTTTTTAAAATTCTATTCTGTGGATTTCTTGTGAAATGACATTTTTATTTTTTATTTTTACATCGGTAGGACCTATTTTCTGGCTTTACCATAATTTGCATTGAAGAAATGACGCTTGGTGCTAATCGACATTTAAATCCAACAGATTCAAAAAAGCTCAAGTGGTTTTGGGATGGTGATAATGATAACAAAGCAGCGCATAATTTTTCTGGATCCATAAATTCCACGCTCATAAAATTAAATCCCATGCAGATACGGACATTTATTCTTAAAATTTCGCACCTAAAGTTTACATAAAAAAAAACATGAAAAACTGATGTTGGCTTGGTGGAATATCATTTGTTAACTGTAATTCGATTAAAAAATTAAATTTAAAGTGATTCGTATAACGCGTTATTGATTCTTTGGCACAAGCATTCGACATAATCGATAAGTGCAAGTTTTTAGGATGTTATTAATAATTTCGACATGAATTTCAAAAATATGCTTTTCAAAAGGTGACGCTACCTATACAACGTACATATTGTTTAGTTCCTGTTTAGATGCATCCAGATTTCAAGCAGGAAACTTATCAAGGCTTGAACTCTGTCTGAAATTAAAATAATTAACTGATAAAGATGGTACACGTGAGGTGTTGTAGTTTGGTGGACGTGATAAGTATTTGACATGAAATACATGATGCCTTACACAAAAATGTCGGATGCATTATATAAGTTAGTTATGAACACAGGAACAGGTATTTGTATCATTATGCCAATGCATAGAGTATTTTTACCTTAGTTTTAAGAAAGATGGAGTTCTTCGTTTTTAGTAGAAGCAAAATACAATTGCTTATTGGCATCGGAGCGATTGTCACGGTTATAATCATCGGATTATTAATTTGGACAACAATACCCAACGAAAAATCGCAGAAACTTAAATGTGGATATGAAGTCGGTATTCTTATGTAATTACTTACGAAATTATTAATTAGTTTTGTTTTCATTTAAGGCTTGCCCGAAAACTCACCCAAATAAACTGAATATACATTTAGTGTCTCATTCTCACGCTGAAGTGGGCTGGTTGTACTTAACCTACGATGTAATATACAACAAATGTAAGATATAAATAAAAGTTGCGCATACTATGTAAATGTTATTGATTATTCATCTATACAGGAAGGAAAATTAAATGTAATATCACAAGTGGCATATTTTATGAAAAACATGTCTTTACCTCACATTAAGCGTGAAGTACTCCTCCCTTTTGCTAGCGAGTAAAAAAAGAATAATTTTAATTTCAGGGGTGCAATACGTGATCGACAATGTCATTGAATCGCTCCTAAAAAATCCAGAAAGAAGGTATTTTCAAATCAATATTTTAACAACTAATATGTATACCGTTACACCATACTGACGATCTCAGCGAAAATTATTTCAACGAATGAAAAATAACAACCGATAATGAGAGTTGTAAAGTCCGTATTTGAGACAAGTAATAAAATGTCATAAGTTACATAATTTTTGATCATCAGTTGTTATTATTACATATATTTTTTTTCAACGCCAATGTTATTGTAGAAACATAGAAAATAGTAGTAAATGGAAAGAACTTTTATTGTTAATTATCGCTTGGGGATGATGACAAATCGATTTGTAATTAGATTCGCGTTTGCCGAAATGGCGATGCTATGGAAGTGGTGGAAAAATCGAAACGACACTATGAAAGAAAAGTTAAAAATGTTGGTCAACGAAGGACGATTCGAAATAGTTGGTGGTGGTTGGAGTATGAACGACGAGGCTACCACAAATTACCAATCACTGATTGATCAATACACTTGGGGCTTCAGGTATACTTACAATTGGATTGAATGATTTATTATTGCGATTAATATAAACTTATTTACCTTTAAAGGCGAATAAATGACTCCTTTGGTTCTTGTGGGCGACCTCGAGTCGGGTGGCAAGTTGACCCTTTCGGCCACTCTCGCGAACAAGCTTCCATTTTCGCTCGAATGGGTTTTGACGGAATGTTCGTCGGTCGAATCGATTACGTGTACAAGTGGGCCCGCTTGTGGAATAAAACTGCCGAATTCATCTGGAAAGGCAGTGATAGTCTAGGTATGTGGTTTACTTTCATTCCCAGAGGGAAAGTACAATTTTCACTTCCGGCTACTTGCACCGGAAAAGTGAAGTCGTACTTTTTTCTTGTACGGCTGTTTGCAATGTTTAGCATAAGTACCTCCGTCGAAAACTCATTTTCTTTCTGATTTTAGAATTGAAAGGACGACGTAATTTTCTATACATAAAAGTCCTATGTATTGTCTATAAAAGATTATAAGACTGTATTTTTTTTGCACGTAGAGTGCAACATAAATACTTTTAAAAAGTAAGATTTTTTTTTTATACGGGTTTTNAACGAAATGGCGTACGGAACGGGCCTTGTGGTCAGAGGTAAACATTACTTGCTGGCCGGCAGTTTGATGGACAAGGACGAGCTCATTTTGCAAGAAAAAGAGAAAGCGATTGAACTGTCCCTTGGATCTTGGCTCTTTTTCACCCCCACGACAAGTTCTTTTCAAGACTGGAATCAACTTTACAAAATGAAGGTTGTACATTTTGTCACTCCCTGCTGTATGTACTTCGGCATGTATTTTTGAAGAATTTAAATTTTAAAATAATAACTCGGGTGGTAGTGCTATCAAGTATATATTAATACAAATAACTTTCGACGTTTGTCACAATGTATTCGCTACCTTACCATCTTGCGTGCTACACTTAGTCACTAGTGTGACGATTAAGTTTTTTACCTGATGAGGGCCTCGTTATCCATATAACTGTACCGGCCGAAACGTCGAAAGTTATTTATATTTAATAAAAAACTTGATAGCATTGCCACTCGAGTTACCATTTTCAAATTTATCGTATCAGGTATCACTCGAGTTTTAAAATAACTAAATGAATTTAAAATTTTCCTCGATCCGTCAGGGCGACGGTTTAACGATTTCGCTGCCTAGAAACGTTCGTATTCTGACTCTCGAGCCTTGGAAGGATGGGGAAGTTTTACTGCGACTTGAGCACATATTTGAGGAAGGCGAAACTTCCTTGTACTCGACAGTTGCCCAAGTCGATTTGAAAGTAATACCTATTATGTTTCTTATTGATCACAATTGGTTCCATGTATTTACATTCTTGAGTTGTGGATTGTTTTTGCCGATAATAGGAGCTTTTCGCTAGTTTTTCCGTGGATTGGGTGCGAGAAACGACTCTTGGTGCGAATCAGTTTTTGAAAGACGAGCAGCGATTGAAGTGGACGTCGGGGACGGACGATAACGTTGAAACTGGAAATTTGGACTCGGACAAAGTGCAGGCCTCCAGTAATTCTATTGTGGTACTACTGAAACGCTTATCTTTTTTTTGTCATTCCAGGTGACGAAGCAATTATCTGTCTTGGCGAATCTGCCCGATACCGAAGAGCTGCAACGTTTCCGAGAGGCAATGGGGGTGATGCAGCATCATGACGCCATTACGGGCACTGCAATGAAAAATGTTGCGTTTGACTATGCCAAACTGTTACATCGCAGTATTTCCAAAGGAGAGCACGTTGCTTCTAAAGCTCTAAGGTAATAATAATCATGCACTTTGAAAATATCAACTATTTGAAAAATATGTATGTTTTTTGTTCTCAGCAATTGGGCATTGAAAGAAAAAATTTCAAATGCGCCGGAATGGTGGTTGGAGTATGAACGACGAGGCTACCACAAATTACCAATCACTGATTGATCAATACACTTGGGGCTTCAGGTATACTTACAATTGGATTGAATGATTTATTATTGCGATTAATATAAACTTATTTACCTTTAAAGGCGAATAAATGACTCCTTTGGTTCTTGTGGGCGACCTCGAGTCGGGTGGCAAGTTGACCCTTTCGGCCACTCTCGCGAACAAGCTTCCATTTTCGCTCGAATGGGTTTTGACGGAATGTTCGTCGGTCGAATCGATTACGTGTACAAGTGGGCCCGCTTGTGGAATAAAACTGCCGAATTCATCTGGAAAGGCAGTGATAGTCTAGGTATGTGGTTTACTTTCATTCCCAGAGGGAAAGTACAATTTTCACTTCCGGCTACTTGCACCGGAAAAGTGAAGTCGTACTTTTTTCTTGTACGGCTGTTTGCAATGTTTAGCATAAGTACCTCCGTCGAAAACTCATTTTCTTTCTGATTTTAGAATTGAAAGGACGACGTAATTTTCTATACATAAAAGTCCTATGTATTGTCTATAAAAGATTATAAGACTGTATTTTTTTTGCACGTAGAGTGCAACATAAATACTTTTAAAAAGTAAGATTTTTTTTTTATACGGGTTTTCATGTATATATCAAAAAATCTAAAATCAAAGAAGATAATTATTTTCAACATAAGTATGGAAATAAAAAAAATTTTTATTTCAATGAAAAACCAGAATTGATGAGAATAAAAATGAATTTCAGGTAAATCTGCCAATCTATTTACGATGATTTTGTACTACCGNCGTTTGGTTTGTAGCATTTTGGACCGTCTGCCGAGGGCAAACTACACTCTGCTATCGCACCTGATCCACGTGCTGCACCACATAGACCGGCGCTCGAAGCACAACCTTATGTGCGCGAGTAACCTCGGCGTGTGCTGTGGGCCAAGTCTGCTCTGGTCCGAGAGTCCCTCGGTCAACCAGAGCCAGGCGATTCCTGCCCTCGTGGAGATGCTCATCCAGCACTGCGAGGTCTTGTTCGGCGAAGGGGTCGACCTGCTTTTCGGCGCCAAGCCAAGCGACAGCGGAGCCAAAGACAGCACCGACAGCCTACACTGTAAGCACCAAACTTTTCTTGAGACCCGCCAAAGACTTTACACTATAAAAACTGGTTTCAATCGTTTTTTCTCTCGTTTTATAGTAGCTGATGGAATTTCCCTGGACAATCTCTGTTTGACAGAACCTCCACGCAAAGATTGCTTGTCCTTGTCCACGTATTCTGGGCTGGCGCTGTCGGACTGTGAGATCTTTGTCCCTGAATCGCCAGTGGATTCCGAGGACTCGGCTGTCAAGCTTCGAAAGGCCGTGAAAGAAAACGTCGAGAACCCCAAGGAGGAGGTCCTGTACCGGTGGAGGATCATAAAATTCACGGACATCATAGTAGACTACAGTAAGTCGGCACAACAGGACGCCAGGCTGCACGACTTTGGCAAAAGAGACATCGGCAGCGATAACAGTAGTAGTGGCAGTTGCATAATCGGTAACAATGAGGATGACGAGCACAAGCAAACGTGGCCGGAGACGCCGCCACCTTTGCCTCCGCGACGCCGGCACTCGAAGCTCGTCAATCCTAACTTCTAGGGTAGGCGCGAACTGGCTACTGCTGCCATCTCAAACCCTATCGCAACTAGGCACTTGAGATCCGACATTGACGAAGAAAGTTACGTCTGGTTTCGGATGCGGCTGCACCCAGGGACACGTATCAGCACCGTTTTTTTTTTCTTGTGCTCTTGATCATGGGACTAAACAGTTATGAATTGAGTTGAAATAAAGAAAGAGTAACAGTTACGAGTGCAAGAATAGTTATGATAAAAAGTGTACTTTTAGCCAATAATCAGGCTACTGAATATAGTTACTATCGAGTGCCTGTAATCGAACTAATAAACTCTCAGGCCAAGGGAGGTATTAATATAAAAAAAACTATAAAAGATAGTTGATTTTTTTGTGGACTTACTTTGTTTTTGTACCTGCTTCTTTGACCGAGGGATGTAGTCAAACATTTTTTATTAAGCTTTATTGAGTGACGAATGTGTTAAAGTAAACTAGCTTTTTCATGTGATTTTAATTTTAAGTTCATTGTTAATATTTAGAGTGTACAGCGTTCATATGAAAAAAAAATATAACGTGTATCATAGCATTGAAATCTTCAAGTGTGATTTAGTTTATAAGCAGAATGTATCATAGTCAACAGAATTTCTAATTAGTGTATAGTTAATTTATACATGTATTTGTACATATTGGGTATATCTTTTACGTCGTTAAATTTTGTCAGTACAAATGCCATTCAACGAAAATTATTTACTTAATTTAGTTGTCAAATAAAATTACATTTTGTATTTTGTACATAAATAAACTTGGCTTTTTTTCTATCCCATACAAATTACCCGTATCGTACGATAATTTTATTGATAAGTTTTTCGATTTATCTTTGCTTTTATGGGTATCTATATATTTTTATTGTAGCCAAATTTCATTGTAAGAAAAAATATGTTAAGAAATAAAAAATTGTCATGTGTTTTGGATTCAAAATTAAAGTACTGTTTTGAACAGTGAAAAGTTGCACTGGTTAAATAGAAACAATTTTTAACAATAAATTAAAATGAAAAGAATGTACTTGAAATAAATAATTAAGATATTGAAAATATAACTTCTTTAGCTAATAATTGCATTGTAAGTGAATTTTAATATTTACATCCTATCAATAGCTAATACATCCTATTTACTTGAGGAGCTCCCGTACTCTTATTTTTCTTGAAATTTCTAATCGAAATCTACTTCGAAGACCCTATTTACACACTTTACTATTGAGAAATAATATAGGGTATTCGAGAAATGCCGAAAATCAGAAAAAATAGGAAAGTTGGTGTTTTTTAGTTTTATTTTGCAAAAATATTGTTACAAACGGGATATTAACAAAATGAAAACTGCACCATTAAAAAGAGCGAGCTTGAAAATTATGGGAAAGATGTTTAGCCTTTTTTTTGTACGGACATTTACACGATGATTAGTTCGAAAGATGAAAATACGTCTATTGTTTTAATGAAAATTGATATTATTATTATACATTTAACGCTGAAAAAATGTGCAAAAACCTGAATTGCGTATTCTTGGAATTTTTTTACTTTATGGGTTACCACCAATAAAAAAGTCAACAGAATTTCTAA